CGTGTGCTGCGTGCAGGACCATCGGGCTGCTTCCCTTTTCTGGCAGAGCAGGAAGTCTCTAAGTACCGAGAGGAGCCCTCTAGCTCGCCTTTCTCGCTCCTGGAGGAGGCAGGCCAGAGTCCCTCTGCACAAGCTCCGGGACACACGCATCTTGCCTCCCTCCCTCCCTCCCTCCTGAGGGTGGCACTCTGCACGTGCGCAGAGGCTTGCTCCGAGGGAAAGGCACGTGCGAAGAAGCGGCGCGTCTTGCTTTCCCCCTTCTCCCCTGGGGGCCCGCGCAGCTTGCCTCCCCTTCCCCGCTCGGGAGGCGCTCCGCACATGCTCAGAAGCACGCCTGCCCGTCGCTCCGCGCCCGCCCTGCCTGCAGGACGGGGCGGCGCGGCGGCGGCGCGGGGGCGGGCCGACGGGCGCTCAGCTGATGCGGGAGGCGGCCCTTGGCCGATATATTCGGCGTCCCGCGGCGCCGCCGGATCCTCCCTTCTCGTTCCTCCGAGCGGCGGCGGCGGCGGCGGCTCGGAGAGCCGGGCTGCCCCTCTTCCACCGGCCGCGGCGCCGGCGCTACGGAGCCCGAGCGCGGTAAGGAGGCTCCAGCCCCGCCGTCCGGCCTTCCCGCCTGCACGGGCGCCCCAGGCGTGGGGGCTCGCCCCCGTCGCCCCCGTACCCTCTGCTTGCATGCCATCGCAAAGGCGGGCGAGTTCGCCCTCGACGTGCCCAGGGGGGCGCGGGGGGGGTCTTGCAGAGGAAAGGGGGATCCCCGGAGCCTCTGTGCCGCCCACCCCGGCAACCAGAGGGTTGCTTGGGGAGCAGATGAGCCCCCCTGAAAATGCGTACGAGATGGCATTGCAGCGGCTGGTTTGCGCTGCTGCAAACGGGGATGAGATCTTGCGGAGGGGGACCCTGTCCCCCTAAGTCGCCCTCAGTTCGCCGATTCCCTCTTTTCACCCAGTGCTTGCAATAATAAAAATGATCTCGTGGGAGGAGGCGATCGCGCCCCCTTCATCTAGGAGGTGCGCGAATAGAGAGACACCCCCCTTAAGGAAAATAAGGGGTTGCTTGTAAAACCGAACACCTTCCACTGGAAAAACAAGGATTTCTGTGTCTGCAGTGTAGCGCCCCCCCCCCCACTGTAAATTGAGGATGGGGAAGCGAGGAAAAATGGAGAGCTTTTGTGTATTTGTGTCTGTAAACTTCGGAGTTTGCTTTCCTCAATCTATTCATCGCCCCCTAATATTCCCAGCACTAATTGGCCTTTGGTGCTTTGCGGGGTGCGGGGGGGGGGGAATGCTAGTCTCCTTTCTCCATCTGTCCTCGGTAATTCTAGGGAAAGCGGAGGGGGGGGGCGTTTTGCATGGTGCCCTTGCGATGAGGAGACCCTTCACACTTCCCCCTTGTGGTTCCAATGTCTAAATTTTGCTCAAAGCTGCTATTGGAAACGCCCCTTGAAATCGCTTTTTCTTTTATATAATGAGCTGGCAGGATGGTTTGCAGCACAGAGGGAAAAATACCTGCTTGCCCCATAACAGTTTAATACTCTTTGTAAGAATACCTTTTTGTAGCCATGAGCTTAGATGAGAGCCCCAGTAAGGTAACTGGCCTTTTCTATGATTATTACTATTATTATAGAGTATTACTATTATTATAGAGTCATACTACTAATAAAGATTGTGTGGGGGTCACATGTTTTGTGTTTGGGCAGGGTATATCCATCTTCTTTGTTGTCCTTTTTCGCAACAAAGGTCCCATTTTCCTATTTGCTTGTGTGAATTCTCAGTTGACATTTGTGTTTTCTGTGTCATCAGAGTTCCAACTGTCTTCTGTGTGTGTGTGTGTGTGTGTGTGTGTGTGTGAGAGAGAGAGAGAGAGAGAGAGAGAGAGAGAGAGAGAGAGGAAGCCATGGGGAAGCCTACAAACTTTATTATGTCCTTCATTCTTAATGAAGTTAGAGCAGCTAAATTTTCTGCCAAGCTTTTATCTGCAGCTATTTTCCTGAACTTTTAACACTCACTCTGTTTCCCCCCCCCCCTTAGGGTCTCCAACCGAATATTGGGAACAAGCCCATCCAAATTTTCCCCTTTTACCTCCCACTCTTCCTTCGAGCTGTACTTTAGAAAACCCACTCTCTGAATTTCAAAATCTCAAGATGGTGCAGAAGAAAACTGAACTGCAAGGGTTCCATCGGTCTTTCAAGGTAAGGTGTGGTAATCCTTTTTTAAACGCATCCAGTGATTCAGTTTATGCTTCTAAGGCTAGATTTTTGGCTTCCAGATCTGGCTGTGGGTTCCAGAACAAGCTGATGGGAGCTGAGCCTCAGTTTATTCTCTGGTAATGAAAGTAACCATGAACACCAAACTGCACAGTGTAAATCCAAAGGGCTCTCAGAGCGTTTAAAAGTTCTGGTGTCACACCTGATTTCTACTGTGTCCAGCTTAGCTTTTGGCTACATAAGAATATTCAGAGAATTGCATATGCCCTTGGTAAGCATAATTCCTGCAAATTTTACCACCATACATGAAAACTAGGGTGCAAAGTTAAGTAGGAGACGGGAAACACCAGTGAGTCCTTTTTCTTCTGTCGTTTCCCCGTCTACCAGATCTTGATTTTGCTATTTCTCTGCAGGTTGTTGTTGTTGTTGTTGTTACTATTGTTACTGTTACTCTTTCCATTTTTATACCACCCCTATAACCACTCAAGAGCAATCTAGTGTGTGTAAATTGTTTATATAGGCTCCTTAATGGAGCATAAAGATGGTGAGTCCATGTCCCAAGGAGCATACACATTAAAAATAAAAAGTAGACGTTTGGAGTAGAGAGAAAATGCATATTCTAAGTCAAGGAAGATATTTTTGCACACAACCTTAGAAACCATAGTTCAGTAACCATTGTGATGCTACTATGGCAAAGAATTGAGGAAAGTGCATTCAACAGAAGTCCATTCTTGTTTGTGTGTGGAATGTTTACTTAATTCAGGCTGCAAGGATTTGACGCTTTTTGGAAGAAAATAGCCTGGAAGAAACATGTTGTAGTTTCAAAGCGCTTGCATCAGAATTTACTGTGGGGGTGTGCTGTTACTGCACACCTGTGTGGCATTTCTGCTGAGTGAGCAGAAGGAAGCGTTCCTTTTCTGGACTTAGGGAGGAGTGGAACTGTGTCCAGTTCTGGGTGATGGTGCAGCTGTGCCGAGTTGCGCATTCATCTGTGGTGCACTCTTGTAGCTGGTGGGCTTGGAAAAGACTTCCAGAGGTGATGTGGAAAATCCATACCTTAACAGTACGAGGAAGTGTACCTGAATATTGGCTAGTGATGCAACTTTGTGTTTGGGTGGACTAGATTCAGCAGTGGATTAACTCCAGGGGAGTTCCCAGTCAGCCATCATGTGGCTTCTAATTGAATGTGGTGCTGCATCATTTCTTGGTGGAAGCGTTCTGTCAATGGGTGAAGAGCTGGCCTGGCTGAGATAGCGTGCTCCCATTTCAAAATAAAATAGCCAAGCTTCTAGCTCTCATGAATGTGAAAGAATTACACAGGACGCTGGGTGCTGGAAGATCCTCGAATGTCAACTAAGTCCCCTCTGCATATGCTTAGCCTCTTGTCCCTGGGAGAAGAGTGGTGCTGAGCACAGCAGCTGTGGGGCACAGGCCATCCCATCTTCCATGCTGGTAGCTGCCCAGTTCCCATTGCACAGTAAGCTCATTGAGGCCGAGAGAGAAGTGTCCACAGGTTGCCCTGCTTATTAATTCTTCCCCGCAGGACTCCCAGTCCACCACAAACTCGAAACCATGAGAACTGTCCTGTGCTGCATTTTGCCTTTCCCATCTGTCTGTTCACATCCTGTTGCTGATGAACTGCTCTAATTATGGGATGTCGGCTGGCAGTGCCTGGGAACGCAGGAGAGTTGGCTTTGCTGGGTGCAGAGTCAGACTGGTTGGGCTAGTTGCAACTCTTAAGTGGATGCCGTTGTACCTGCAGTTAGATTTTGCCCTCAGGATGGGGACCGCAGGGTATGTCTTGCTGTCGGTATGCTTGTGCACAGGTTGAATTCCTCACAGGAATCCATAAAAGTGGTGTGAGCTCAGATTTTTGCATTCAGAGGATGTGTTGTCAGGAAGGGCAGGTGCAGAAAACCATCTTCTGACCTGCTTCAGAATGGCTGCTTATCCAAACTGCACTTCAGGTTCCTTAAAGGGAGGTGTTTCCTCAATTTAAAATTAAACCGATGAAGCTAAGACACTAGTCCTCATGTTGGCAAGCTTAAATAATGAACATTACACCTGATCAGGTGGCAGGGAAAGTGCCCTGCAGGATCAGCTGATGTGACATGGTAGTACGTTTGCGGTGGGGGGCATCTTTTGGCTGGATCAGCACCCTACAAGCCGATCCCTGGAATTGCATGTCAGCCTGGAAAGGTTTTTTCTTCGTGTCAGTTTCTGCAAGTTTGTCTGTCTTGGAGCAGGTTACTCTTGTGGGGCACCATAACTGGACTTAAGTGGACAGTGGAGAACCATGTGGTTCCAATATTAAATGTTATCTTGGCAGATAGTTCATTTTCTGCTCCTCTGAGAAGCAAACCCAAAGCCTGTCTCCTGTATTTCTCTAAGCGTGCTCAGCAATCTTCAGATAAGAAGCAGGATTTGAACCACAAACTCCCAGTAAGACAAGTCACGCAATGTGCTGGCCCCACTGAGAGCAAAAATCTAATTAACCTGCAGTGCTAGGTGGGATGGTACCTGGGTTTGAATTCTCACTCAGAAGTAAAGCTCATTGGATCTCACAGGTATGTGGGGGGTGTCCCACGGAGGTGGGTCGAGACCTGTTCTCCCCTGAAGAGGAAGGCAGGATGCGCTCCAGCAGAGCCAAGCTCAGGGAACCAAGTTTCAATTTAGATTCCAGGAAGCACTTCCTGACAGTCGGGACCCCGAGGGTGTGGAATGGGCTTCCACGGAGGTTGTTGAGGTCCCATCGGTGCAGGTGTTCAAGGATAGGCTGGACGTGCACATGGTGGGCATGTTGTGAGCGGAGCCGGCTGGAGCCGGGGGTCAGACTAGATGGCCCAGGAGGTCCCTTCTGGCTTGCTCTGTTTCTATGATCTTCTCAGCTCATGGGTTGCTTAGCTCAGCCTATCTGACAGCTGTGGTGAGGATAAAACGGGAAATCTGGAGAATGACGTCCCTCCAGCTCAGAGTATGTTGATGATTGTGATTATTTGTGGGCAGTACTCAGCAAGGATAAGACCTCATGATTCCCTGCCTCAAGTGTTTATTTGATCTAAAGGGGAAAAGTTTGCATGGTTGATTGTTTATTTTCCCCAAAGCACATGTTGAGTTTCTGGCCTAGAGGCCCTCTCTCCTTTTTGTAACTAAACATCATTGGAGCTCACAGTTAAGGATAGGTTTCCCTCTCCACTTTTCATGTGCTGGATCCACCCTGCATTGAAATTCCTTCCAGTGTTTTTCCATGAGGCTTTAGCATTGTTTCAGACCCTTCACCTTGGGAGTATTCTGACCTGCCATCAGCTGCCCAATTTCAAACTAGAGCCCTTGTCTTAGCAGCAGCAGCAGCGGCAACCACCACCAACCCAAAAAGACACAAAACAAAAAAACAACACCAGAGCCCTGCTTTACTCATGTTCCTGTTTTGGCTGGTTTTGTAAGAAGCTGGGAGTCTCTGTTGTGTGTGTGCACGCGCGCACGTGTGTCAGATCTAAGAATTGTGCTTCAGACTGCAAGATGCTGCAGTGTTTAAAATAGCACAATTTCCTGGTGTCGAACCCCAGAGAAATGCAGGATGGAGGCCTTGCTTTGTGCTACTGGAGGGGGTGGAGTGGCACAGGACGGAATTCGGCTCGGCCGGTGGGCGGCTGACCAAACAGATGCACTTGTGTTTCTGGTACTGGCCATAGGGGCGCATGCGTCTTCCCGTTCCCTGCCTTGCCTGTGTGCAGTTGGGTTCTCCTTTTCCTCCTGTGCACACTCTTAAAAAAACCCTTGCACACTGCAGAGGGTGTGACGTAACTTGTGGTCTGGGTGCGAGGGAGGCAGTGAGGCCCTGGAAAGGGGGGGGGCTGGTGCAGTCGCTGTTATGTAACCGCCGCTTGCTTTCTGCAATGTTCTTGTGCTTTTGCCGGGGAGAATGCAAGGAAGGGGGAGATCTTGGAACTGCCTTTTAATGACGCGCGAGGGATCAAAAACCGGCCAGGTGCATGGCAAAGCAGAGGGGAATAAAAGGTAATGCCCTGAGATTTACTTGCCTCCCCAGCCAACTGAGCATGTTGGACTACAACACCCACATGCCCACTCTGGTGACTGGGGGTGATGGGGCTTGTAGTCTAGGATGCCAGTAAGGTGATTATGCAAGCCCCCCCACCAGAATTATCTCCTTGACCACTTTTTAATTCGTCTCAGTGCAAGCACTTGGGCATTTCCTTCTGCCCTGAAATGCATTGCAGCTGCATGTTCTTTCCACAGTCCTCCTTTTTAACAGAAAACCAGTGCGGGATTGTGGTGAGAGGCTGGGCTGTGGGGGCTCGGGTGGTCCAGGTTCTAGTGCTCACTTGGCCATGAAACTACTGGGCGACTCAGGGCTGGTCACTGACGGTTGGTCTGCCTACCTCACAGGGTTGTTAGGAAAATAACATGACTTCATTAGCAGCTTGGTTTATTTGCAAGAGAGGGAAAAACATGCGGTATGAAAGTGATGATTAAAGAGCACATTCCGGCCTTCCACGCACATGCGATGCGGAGGTTTGTGCATCATCTTTCCTTGTTTCTTGCCAGTCAGATCAGCAACCAGCAAGCAACACGTTCTGGTGTGGGTCAGTTCAGCATGTTTGGCTTGTGACATCAGCAGGTGTGCAGGGCTTGAAGAGTGAGCAATGTTGCTAGGGGGGGGGGGGGTCATTTACTTATTTATTTGATCGATATGCAGGCCAATTAGTCTTAAGCTCTCTGGGCAGCTTACATGTAATTGGAACCACAATAAAACAACAACAGAAGCAAAGAGCAATAACAAAACAGTAAAATTAATAATAATAGTACAAAGCCAGTGATCATAATTAAAGTGGAATAGCTTAATAAGTAATTTGAGAAGGGGGTGCAAAACAAATCAGCCAGTAAGAGAGAGTAATTAGACACCTCCATAAAACTTTGGGCAGTGGTTGGTGTGGGAGGGAAGGAAGGAAATGGCCCTCTCCAGGTTGTCTGCTTGGACAGAGCCATAGGGCAGTTCATGGAAGTTTAAAGTCAGAGGGGAAATCGCTTGGGGAGTTTTCTTCCTCTCTCCAAACTGATTTTGTAACATTTTGGAAGTCTTGTGCTATTTAAGTTAATTTAGTTATTTAGGTTGGTTAATAAGATTAGGAATTGATAGGGTGGACCTGACCTGAACTGCATCTCTGGGTTCTTACGTAGGTTGCTTGCTCAAGGGATGAAGGAGCGGGGTAGATTCGGCTTGCTGTTGTGCAGTGCTGGGGTGGGAACTGGGATTTTATCATGGGATATATAACTGGGAGTTTGTACATGGGACTGGACTTGCGCCCTTGGTCTTGTTCTTTCATTAGCATTGCATTGGCAGTGGTCCCAAAGCGGTCCCTTGAACTGTTTATTTTTGCAGTAAGAAATGTCTCATTCAGAGAATTACTCGCTGCAAGGGTTTACACCACATGCATGGGTTTGATGAGGTCATACAGATGTGGACAGCAACATTTCTGAGGATCCTGTTGTAGAAAACAAAAGCTGCCAGCTCACAGAAGTTGTTGTTGTTTGGTGGTTCCTTCATTGCATTTATAGCTTGCTTTTTTCTCTTTGAGTCTTACATAGACACTTGCATTCCAGCTAACCCTCATCACAACAACCCTGTGAGGTAGGTTGGGCTAAGAGTGAATAACCGGCCTAGCGTCACCCAGTCGGCTCCATGCTGAGTTAGGACTTGAACCTGGACCCCTGGGTCCCAGTCCAACACTCTAGCTTGCAAAGAATCTGGCATATCTGGTAGGCTAAACAAGAGATGCAAAGCCCTGAGGAAAAACAGGAAAAACCTTGTTTTTCTCCTCCATTTCCCCCAAAATTTATTGGTAAAAAATGGGAAAATAAAGGGGTCCATCCCCGTCCCCTCCAATTTTTCTGGGCTTTTTCCAGGCCTTCACATCTCTTGGTTAGACCTTCATCTTCCTTGTGAGCTCCTCTCCTGAAGCCACACAGCCCTGGAAGGACTCTCCTGTGTGATTATGCAGACTACGTTCTCTGCTCGCAGCACGTGGTTTTTCCTGTAAGGGTGGAAGCGTAATGCATAACACCTTGGAGCTTCTCCCATACCTTGCCCGCTCCAAATAAACAGTTTCCTCCCAGCTCATTATGGGTTTGTTCGCCGGCACGCTGGCAGAACCGCGTTCCAGCCCAGTCTTGTTCGACTAGCCTGTGGCTTGTTCTGCTGTATAATCTTGCCCTTCTTCGGAGTGACCTCCTTTGTTGGCTCTGCTGAGTCACATGCTGTCCCTGGCGTCAGCAGCTGCGTACTGGGGAGCGGCCAATTCTCTGTTTTTATTCCGCTGGGTGTTCAAAGGAGGAAAAGGCTTGGGAAGCTAGTTTGAATACTGGAGCTTTCTCTTTAGGGCACGCGCTGCAAGGGTTTGAGTTCAGCACTGCAAAACAAATTACCAACTTACTAGTCCATAAGAACACAGTTTTTTTAAAAGCACATGCTCAGTTGCTTCCTACTGAATGGCATGCAAAAAGGCCTATGGGAAAATAGCAACACTCCTCTGTGATAATAAAATGGGATAAACCAGTTGTTGTTGTTATTGGGCTGATGGAAATAATGAGGAAAATTAACTTGGTGAAGCGGCTATGAAGCCTGTTGACCAGGCGAGTGGCTGTTTACAAGCTTGGCTCACAATGCTGCTCAGGTTGGAAGTAGCAGAACTCCAAGCCGTCAGCAGCCAATTCATGGCCTGTATGTTGGGTGACGGTGGCCGGCTCTCCCGCCAACTTTGCCCCTTACCCAAGCCATGTTTGTTCAAGCTGCCCTTTGAAATAAGGAGATAGTGTGAGACAATCCCATATAGGAAGTGTGCTCCCTGCTGGGGGGTTTGTCTCCAAACGCCTTGGCTAAATTCTGACTTACTGCTTCGGTCTCCTGTCCTGCCAGGGCCAGAATCCCTTCGACCTGGAGTTCTCCCAAGCAAACCTGGAGCCCGTCTTTAATTTTGAATGCCCTCCTAGACCTGGTGAGCTCCATTCTCTTGCCTCAAAGTCTTGAAATTAGGGAGGGTCATCAAAAGCAGCCTGTTTTTTTATGTCGAGGTAAGGCTACCCTGGAGGGTAGGTTTGTTGCCATAAGAATTGAATAAAAAGCCTAAGGGATCCACCCTGTCGAAGCAAAGGTCTGAGGCTGGCCAGAATATGGAGGGGAGACCCCTAGGACATGCTTGTCCTCACCTTGAGCCCCAGCAGTGGAGACAGGTGGGACCAAAATATAATAAAAATAAATAGCTCTTCCTTGTCCTTGGCTCCTTTTATATTGCAGGATCGTGCATGTTTCAGGCACTTCACTTGGGAAAATCTATAGTTGCCAGACGTGCAGGATCCTATCTGCAGAGCATCTAGGATTTGGAGGGACGAGGCTTTTGTGGGTTGCAGGAGGCTAAGATTCACCTCCACCGGTGCCCTTGCTGTGATGGATCTTAAATTGGTTTTTGGGGAGAAGGGACTGGACAGCCCACTTTGGGTCAGCTTCAAAGACCTGGCACCCCCATAGCATTGCAATTTGATGCATGGTTTGGGGTTTCCCTATTGCTTTGTTTGTTTGCTTTTTTCTTTACAACAAGTTAAAACCGTTTTTTAACCTTTGTGGAACAGATATGCCTTCAAGTCAACCCATTGATATTCCTAATGCCAAGAAAAGAAACAAGAAGAAAAAACGCTGTCGGGCCACAGATAGCTTTACGGGTAGATTTGAAGGTAAGGATGTGGCAGATGGTCCAAGCTGCTAGTCCACAATGTTTGCTCTCTGGGGAGGAAGCAGTGCTTTTCTGCCCTCCTTCTGTATCAAAATATTTCAGATTAAGGTCTGGTAGAATTAGGGCTTTGTAATGACTGTGGGAATCCTGTAACAATTGCATGGTATTAATGGGTAATGGTATAAAAAAGAGTCTGCATATTAACTGCAGTTCCCAAATTGACAGAAAGGGATATAATCTCTAAACTTGCCAAATAGTCCCTCCCCTTGAAAACCAGAACAAAAAAAAAGGGTAAACAACACAAGGACAAACACTGCAAATCAAGCATTTTTCAAAGTCTCACCAAAACAGAATAAATACATTTTTACCTAGTGCATATTGAGGGGAAGCTGAACGGTTCTCTCTTCATACCTGTTTCTTACACTATCAACTCTAGCTTTCTACTTCTAGTTTCCTTTATTGCATTTCTATGCAACCCAACAGCCAAAACTGTCCGGATGCTTCACAAAAAAACCCCAAAAAACAAAAAAACAACATTTTGTTGTTACATGTCCCCAAGTTCTCTCTGACTGATACATCAAAGCAGAAAACTTAGAAGTGTCAAAGAATAAAAGTAAAAGTCCCCAGCAGCAGTCTTAGCGGTAAGCCACACATTCTCTATGAAACAATGAGGGCTGGAAACTTTAAAATGCTAAAGGAGAGCGAGGTTCCGAGGCTGAGGCAAACTTGGGCCTCTGTGCTACTTTATGGCCTTCTTACAGGCTTCCTCAAAGGCCAGTCAGGAGCACTGCAAAACCTTGTTTCAGAAGCCTGCTTTTTACATGACTTTCCTCCTCGCCTGCAGATGTTTACCTGCTTCAAGAAGAGGTCCTTGGAGAAGGAGCCCATGCAAAAGTACAAGCCTGCGTCAACCTCATTACCAACAAGGAGTATGCAGTGAAGGTAAACGACGCGGCCATCTTTAGAAAGTTTGATATTACTTCTGGGAACCAGGAGCTGCTGCTTCAGATCCAGATCTGAGTGTTTTGGAGCGTATCCCAGCTTGGCATGTCACTTCTGCCCTCTTTTTTCTGGACAGCTGCAGTCGGTTGAGAAAGGGGCTGAGGTGTGACAGAGCTGCCCACTTAGCAAGGTGCTGGGGAGGCGCGGCCTTGCCACAAGCTCGGCCTTGCTTAATAGCGCCATTATTTTTTCATGGGGGCCAGAACAAGTGATTACCAGCTACAGGTGCCGACTGGCTTGCTCTGAACTTAGCTGCATCAGGACGAAGGCAAACTGTGGTCCGGCCTGGGTGTTACACCACAAAAGTTTGTGTTTGCCTTGATCTTGCTTAGTTTATCTTCGGTGTGTGTTAGCCTTAATCCAGTTTTGTAGAAGAACTAATTTACTGGTGGTTACATTTGTCTGTCAAGCTCACTTGCCTGGGAGGGACAGGGCAGGCATACAAGGTTGGGTTGTCTGCATAGCTAAAGAATTTCCTCTTACGGCTGAGCCAAACTAAATGTCCACATAATTCTCTCATTGTCGGTGTTTGGAGTTTCGGGAACTGGATGTTCTTGAGCTTTTGATGTATTTTGTTCCTTTGTAGCCTACTTTACAGGGGTGTGGAGAGGATGCATTTGAGAGCAGAATAGTGAAAAATGTTCAGTACATGTATTAGCTTTCAGACTTCAAGAAATTGACCTGTTGTACCACTGACTTCATTTTGCAGACCTTGGTTGAGTTGCTTAATTTTGGGGGGCAAGAGATGAGTTTGGTGCAACAACTGTTGTTCTTTTTCAAAAACGGAGCCTGGTCTTTCACCTGAGGAAGTGTGGTGGTTTACCACACCTACCAAATTAAGTGTGTGCCTATTCCTTTTATTTCAAAGCCAATCTAGAAATAATTATCTTGACTGACATTAAAACTAGTCCTGGGGTATTGGGATGTATTTTGTGGGGACCCAATTTAAATGCCTTCATTTCAGTGGTCCTCAATAAGGATGACCAGTACAGGATCAAATACTGGATCCAACCAGTGACGAATGGAGGAGTGATTTTTGCAGAAATTGTGCCAGGTGGCCAAGGGCAAATACAGTTTTCAGCAAGTTTGGCAGTGTCAAAGCCAGAATTAAAGTTTTTCAGTTAATTATTCCTCAAAGGGTGCACGATAAAATCCATATATGCCACTGTAAAACATGTTTGAATGTGACATAGAACCAGTAAGCAATTACAAGGAAACTGAAGCGGCTCCAACATCCTTAATCAAAGAGTGAAATTCTTATGAAGTAGTTGTTGTGACCTTACATACACTTTTTGGGTTGGTGAAATTAAATCCTGGAGCTGTTGGTGTTGGGAGTATCAGGGGAAGGTAAATTAACACCTGCACTTCTCCATACCTTTCTTACATTAAACAAGAGTTAACATTTTACAGATAGTCTAACAAAAATGTCTCCGTAATAGAACACTGAAATATTAAGCCTGATTAGACATATTTAGATGGAAAAATAGGTGCACCAGTTGTAGGGTATTTTTGGGGTCCAAACATGCATAGGATGGAAGTGTGCTTTAACCTCCTCGTAAAATATGTCAAGTCACATACTTCGCCTATGGAAACAAAACTGTGGGATATCTGTTTTGATCTGTTTATTTTACTAATCATCAGTAAACAGACTAGATTGGATCACCCTTTTCCAATGCAAACAAATCATTTCTGATGCAGATCAGCCTAATTTGCATAGGAAGGTTTCCCTTTCAGAATGTTCGGGGAAAGTCTACATTGCAGGGTAGAATCCCTGTTCTCCATCCCTGAGGATGTGACCTGAGTTCAGCGGAAGAGCTGCAAAGAAGCAGTAACAACGGAATAGATTTTGCCTGGTCCCAGGGAGCTGAACATTTTGTTTTTGTTTGCTTCTATTTTTGGAGATTTGCTTCTAACTCCAGCCAACTAGATTAGACCTGCATATCCTTGCAGTGAAAAGTCTTAGCTCACTTACTAGTGTATATCCGCTCAGACATGTGGTGAAAGAGGCCGTATGATTTTTGGGCTGTCTGCATGCAGTTGTACACAGTGAACTAATTCTTGGCTGCTGAACTGTAGCTCCTTCTGCAAGCAGAAAGCTAGCCTTGTTCACTCCCTGATCTTTCTACTTGCAGGGAGGTTTTATTGAAAACAAACATGAGGTTAAAAGCATTAAAAGCCTTTTTCACCTGCATTTTATTCTGCATGTATAGAACTGGCCCAAATATTTGCATGGTGGTTGCTTGTGGGTTTGTTTTTACTTGAGCAGCAACTATTTCCACCCACTTAAGATGCAAGCAGTGTGGGTTCCTTCCATGGCAGATTTATGATTGATTTAATGTATATACGTTTAGCCTACCAAAGTATTTGCAAATTTATATTCAGTGTTTATCCATGATTCAGCTGTTGCGTACCAGAGATATTAAAATAATCAAAGGAAAGATGTGTGTTTTACATGTTGACTGATTAGGCTCTTAGTCCATCTGCCAACAACTTAATGGCATGATTACTTAATAATACATTAATATCATTCTATATCATAATTGCTATTTTCCCAAGTTCTTTACAGCAAATACTTCTGACTTTAAAATAAGTCCAAATGTTCCATCTCAGGGCCCTGAAGCATTATTAAACTGTCTTTGACATGCCACCAGATTGAGATCTGGAAACCAGTTTTAAGAAGTTGGTCCAAATTGTCCCATTTAAAAAACTGGCTTTTGGATTGATGGGAGGAACCTTGAAGGGGCCTGGTGCTGTCTATCTTTTGGTCTTCACAGTGTCCCAAGGCAGACACAGGGGGTTTGGGGAAGTTGTTCCCATGTTGTTCTGCAGGATTTCTCCTCTCAGAAGTACATTTAGGGTCACAGCTGAAGGATGCTTCCAAGAGCACTATCCGCCACTTCATTCATATAATTTAACGATGAAGGTGCCTGAGAGGTTGTTGCCATCCACTTTCCATGCACTGTGGGGCTTCTTCTGTTGCATCCACCTTTATTTTTCTTACTAGAAGAAAAATCCATCAAGGAAGGAAGGAAAAGGCAGCAAAACGGCCCTGGTTTGGTTGTGAGCACTCAAGAGTTCTTCGTCTGGGAGCAATTTTAATCTGACTCTGCAAAACACATTGCGTGTCTCTTTCACTTGCAAAAATGAACAGGGCTGCCCCACTGGAACATCACATATTTATGTTTAAACTCAGGCGTGATTTCCCGGCCTGACTTTTCCGCCTTTTCCCCCACTGCTGCTGCCCAGCTCTTTTTTCCTGCATCCCCTCCCTGCCGGTGCTTAGCCGTGTATTCCAGCAGTGACGCAGATCGCGAGTCGGCTGGCATCCGAACAGAACAGCGAGATCTGGCCACACTCCTTGGGTGTGCTTTGCACAGATGCGGTGGTGAGGGGGGGTGGGGGGGTCAGGGAAGAGAAGCAGACGCTTGTAAAGCTGGCAGGGGGGGAAGCGGGAGGTGGTGAGGTTGTGACCTCCCTGGGCCTGGGGAGGGGGAAACAGCTGCCGTGCAGAGCGTTCCCGTCTTGGAGGCACTTTTTATTGGCAGGAGAGGAACAACGGCCTTTTCATTACGCTCCGGCTGTTAAATGGCAAAGTAAGAAGAAAAGAGCAGAAGTTTGGATTCTGTAGAGAATCCGGTTCTCCACCCCTTGCCCGTGGTTTCATGCTTGGAAGTTTGCAACATCAATTTCAAAACACTGGGGGATGCGAGCCCTGGGAAAGGGCTGCTAGGTATATTAAGGGCATTTTTCAAAGTACATCATCGCATGTGAAAATGTCAGCTTAATTCTTATACAGAGGCCTCTGGAGGTGGAGATGAAAAGGGACATATATGCAGAAAGCAGGGTGGGGAGCTACGGGTGATCCTCAAATTGCTTTGCAGAATGTTTAAAGAACACCTGCAGAAAGAAGGGGCCATGCCCCATTTTTGGCTCTAAGGTAAAGAAGGAGGGCTTCCCCTGCTTCCAGAATTAATATCTACCGTTGCTTCGTGGTGTGATCAAATTGCTCTGATTCTGCTTTTGTGGGAAAGCCCATGCAAGCATGGAGCAGCCTTGACATGCTGGGAAGTCAAAGTTTAGCCTTAGGTGAGAACTAGAGAAAGGATTCTGCTGGCAGAGTTTTTCCCTGCATATAGAAAACTAGCCCATAGGGTTCTGTGCACCTTGGCACGCTCCTCTTCTAGATGTGGAGAATTTGTTTTGTGTTTTATCTTGAGGAGTGCCGAGGTGTGTGAACAAATGGATGGTCTCTGCTCCTTAATTTAAAAGCCAGCCAAATATTTTGTTCATGCTCAAGGGAGGGAATTCTATTGAAAAAGGAAGATTTGTAGATGACATTCTAGTCTGTGAAGATGCTTAGACTTTAAAGGTGTGATTACATGCATGAGACTGCAGTTTGGAATGGTGAATATTCTACTTTGATTGTACTATATTATGATTATAGGGCATTAATTGGTATCCCTGTAGATATCATTTCAAATCCATTAGATCCACTTCCTCCAAACAGGTGCCCTCCAGATGCCCTGGACTAAAATTTCCAGCATCCAGCAGCTAACTAAGGGGAAGGGATAAATTGACTTAGATGCATCAGATTGCAATTTTTCAAATCACTGTTTGAACTGAGGAAAAGCTGCCCTTTGAGAGTCATACCTTTCTGAATTTCACAGAGCATATATTAAATGAAGGTGGCAAGCATGTCGTGAGCGGAGCCAGCTAGAGCCGGGGGTCATTCTAGATGGCCTGGGAGACCCCTTCTGACTCGCTCTGTTTTTATGTTTCTATGTATGTTTTTTCTCTTCTCAGAATGCATATTGCCCAGCTCAGCAGTTCTTTGCATGTAATGGTGGTGTTGATGCGGGATTTGGTACTTGTGTTTGTAACCATTAGTACGCTGCACTGTTGTTATGATGTCTGAAATGAGACATTTTGGGTTATTCAAGGGTTAAATAACCCACACTTAACCTAAGAGCAAATCATGTGTTAATTTGGAGCTGTCACACATTGACTAGGTTATATCATACCAAAAAGTATGAACCATGGATTGTGCATTTCTTGTTCAGTCAAAGAACTTTTCCACCACAATGTTAACCTAACACCCGTCATTTCCCCACCTTTCATTTAAAGATAATTGAAAAAAGTCTTGGACACATCCGAAGCCGGGTCTTTCGAGAAGTTGAGATGCTCTATCAGTGCCAAGGACACAGGTACCAATGGGGCTGTGTGGGGAAAATCCGGTTTTCTAGGTGTCGGGAAATGCTTGCTCTACCTGGTTAGTTTTGAAATGCCGTAACTCAGCAAGTCCATCACCTAAGAACAAGACTGAAGCCTAGAGTGGTGGAGTTCTTAAAATCTTGGGTTGTAAACCCCCAAAGCACTGCATAATTGACTGGCAGGTTCTACTGCCGGAACATTTTTGGTGGCTTCAAAAGTGGGCACATAAATTAAGGCACAGGAAAATACTTTTCTTCAGCAGTTGATAGCTTAATGCACTATTGTTGAACCTTAGGCTGTAGGCCATATCTGGCCTGACTTGGGTCCCATTCCAGCTCTCTGGGGTTCTCCAGACAGTCACATTGATGGAGAGGCAAACATAATGGGAGAAGTTGATCTGGCCTGATGGACTGCCCTCTCCTTTCTCTCTCCTCCACTCCCGGTAGAAATATCCTGGAGCTAATAGAGTTCTTTGAAGAGGAGGACCGATTCTACCTCGTGTTTGAGAAGATGAGGGGAGGCAAGTAGATGGGGGAGCTGGCTTTTTGGGGATGGGGGTGCAGTACTGAGTGGGAAACCAGGGGGGGGCAACCTAAATTGTCCAGCAGGTTGGGGAAGACTGGTTGGGAATCGGAGGAGTATCGTGATCCAAGAATGCAGAAATACTAGAATGGGTCCAGAGGAGGGCAACAAAAATTATCCAGGGCATTTGAAACACGACCCTGTGTGGGCAAACAGAGAGAACTGGACATGTTCAGCCCTGAAAAGACCAAACTGAGTGGGGACATGGTATCCCTCTGTAAGTGCCTGAAAGGCTGTCACAAAGAGGAAGGTCAAGATCTCTTCCCACTGATACCAGAGTGCAGGACACGGAACCATCAAGTCAAGCTGCGCCAACTCAAATTCAGGCTAGATATCAGAAAAAGCTACGTCACTGTCAGAGCAATGCAACAGTGGGACCACCTGCCTGAAGAGCTGGTGGGCTCTCCCACACCAGAGACATTCAAGAAGGAACTGGACAGCCACCTGAGTGGGATGGCGCATATTGGTGTCCTGCGAGAGCAGAGGATTGGACCTGATTGCCTTCTTGGCTCCTTCCAACTCTACTCCTCTGTGGTTCTATGACATCACTATTCCCAGCTAGGAAGTCACCCTCCAGGTTGGGAAAGGCACTTCTGGACCTTCAGTTCCCTAGCATGGCACACCATGCTTCCTTTTCCCCATTCCAGGTTCCATCTTAACCCACATCCATCGCCGGCGCCATTTCAATGAGCTGGAAGCTAGCAAGGTGGTGCGCGATATCGCCAGTGCCCTTAATTACTTGCACAACAAAGGTGGGTAAAACGAGGGGAGGAGAAAAGCACTAAATCAGGAAACGGAGGGGCTGTTTTGCAGAGGACTTGTGGAACCAAGGTCAAGGGGTGTGGGCCTTTGGAGAAAACCCAAGAGGGCTGGATGAACAACCTGAGGCTAGGATGCTGGCCTGGCATTTCTGCTTCTTCCATCAAGCTGGAAGCCGGGACATGGTGTTGCTTGCAAGAAGTTGTGAGCTGCCCCAAGGCTTCGGCAAATGGGGCGGCATAGAAATGTTATAAATAAATAAGCAAGCAAGCAAGCAAGCAAGCGAACATCATCACCATAATTTTCAGGGCCCGCAAACTGGAAGTCCTTGCAGTCATTGCTCTGCACCAAGATGGGATTGTTGGGTGGGATGGATTCCTCAGGGGTATAGGGGCAATATGTCTGCACTGATAGATTCCTGAACTCCGTCGACCATTTGGAAAGACAACGGAGGAGTAAGGCCTTTCCCCCACTTCCTTCAAGCACAGCTTTGTGGGTGTCTGGCAGACGTCTGGTTGGAAGCCGCATTGGGTTGGATGTACTTTTGACTTTAATCCAGCAGTTTCGGGTTACCTGTGCACAAACTCAATGAGTTCACTGTTTATATCCCTCTCTCCCCTAGCCTGGGTTTCTCTGGGGATGATGGGAGTTACAGTCCTACAATTCCAGTGGGCACCGGCTTGGGGAAGCATGCTCTGATCCAAACTAGTTTCTGCCATTTTTTAAACTTGCTGTAGGAAAGTATTTGGAGACATTTGCAAAAAGGTATTGACTCAGACTTTTTAGAGAATGAAAAATAATCATCCATCCATCATTCTTTTTTTTTAACAGGAATAGCACATCGAGATTTAAAACCAGAAAATATTCTCTGTGAGAGTTCCAGTCAGGTAAGCCTTAGTGTAGAAACTACTACTTGATGTCTTCTGGATCAGAGAACATACATGCAACGGAATAATGATCTGTGGAACTCACTGCAGGTTGTGGCAACGGAGTGCTAGTTATGGGGTGGGAAACTTCCGGGAGAGACTCCGTGGCATGGTGGAGGTGTTTTCCTTGCTGGGGATGATGGCATGCCTGGGTGTTTTCCTCCCTCTTCGGTAATGCCACTGTTTTCTCCCTGTTGCATATGTGCAGGTTTCCCCTGTGAAAATATGTGACTTTGATTTGGGAAGTGGAATCAAGCTGAATGGTGATTATTCTCCCATCTCCACCCCTGAGTTGCTGACTCCGGTAAGCCCTTTGAGGGAACGAACTCGAGAAGAGAGCAAGGCAGTTTCTGAAGTGGTGTGTGCAAACAGTTGGATTGTGGCTTACCGAGTGAGATGGATGGAGGGGATTTTAAAAAGGGGGTGTACACTGTAAGTTGAAATACAGCCGTCCCCCTTCTTCAACATCTTCCAAAGAAGCTTATGCCCCTTCCTCCAAGCACTGAACATTTGAAGGTTTCCTGACTCGTGTGTGGATTTTTCTCCCGTATGAAAGCATTCAAAGGTTTGTCCTAAGGTTTTGTTGCGGGTGGTGAGAGTTTGAACTTAAACCAACTAGCATTTTGGATCGAGCTGTTTTAGTTTTGTTTCTTCTTATCCTCACACCTCTGAAATAAACTCTCCCAAATTATCCAGGAACTTCCGTCATCTCACAGTTCAAGACAACCCCAGATTTAAAGCCTGGAGAATTCTCCAAGTTGGAGGATAACTGGATTTAAGATTGGAGACAGGCGAGATTGTGGAAACATAGAGCGAGTCAGAAGGGGTCTCCCGGGCCATCTAGTCTGACCTCCAGCACCAGCTGGCTCCGCTCACAACATGCCCACTATGTGCATGTCCAGCCTATCCTTGGACACCCACACCAATGAAAGGACCTTAAGAGGACTTCAAGCTGGTGTCCTCCATATGCTTGGGGTACCGAGTCCCATCAGCCTTAGCCTGCTTGGCTGGAGGTCATGACTTCGGTCTTGTCCTTTCCTTTGGCGATGCAGGAAAGCTGCTTTCCCTGCTGGAAAAGGACCTGTGTGTAGGAGAAGCGGGTCATTGAACTGAAAGAGAGAGTGAGGCCATGAATTCAATCCCGAACCGCAACTTGTGTTCTGGCTCGCTGCTGGGTCAGCTCAGATCTTTGCCCTGAGTGTCGACTGTCAGCTTGTGTCCCAAGGCTTGCAGAATTGAGAAATCCAGCATTGCATTAATGCGCTTAATCCAACCCCCTGTGCCTTTCCAAATGTGGCTGGCTGGCTGGCTGGCTTCAGCTGCGACATTTCTCCTGCTAAGTCCCCTCGGAGACCGAGTGCCGAGGAAGTAAAAGAGAAAGCCCCTTGGCAACAGCTCGGCTGATTGGCTGCTGGAAGAAGGGTTGGGGCTCCCCTTTCCTTTGTGTGTGTCTTTCTGTGCCCCCCTATGCATACACCTTCCCCCACCCACCCTGCTTAGTGCAGGAGGCAGAGGCTTTGCAGAAATGGGGCCCACAAGCTTTGAATGGGGGGCATGGGGGTCCAGGGGGGGAGAAGGCGGTGCCCATAATCTCATTGTGTGGACGAGCAAGTAGTGAGTCTCTTGGGACAGGTTTGGTTGCACAGGTGAAAGGTGCCACATGGGTCCCAGGCTTTCGAAGGGGATATCCCGATGTGACTGGTTTATTTATCTGGGGGCACCTCTTGGAGGAGAGAGGTTTAATTCTGGTGCCAGGTTGAATTCTAGCTTGCATTTTCCCAACATTGCTGGGGGGGAACTGCTTTTGTCTGGCAGATTTAGGAAGAACCACAAAGGCGGAAATCGTTTCTGCCTTCCTAACTTTCGCTCTTCCCTGATTATATTTGGGCTGCCTCTGAATGCGTGGAAAGCACCCTGCACATCTGTGCTTGGCTGGAAGGGTTGTGCAATCCGCCCCCCCCCCGCCTCCCCCTGCAGAGCAGTATTCCCAGCAAAAGGAATCCAGCTGCCGTCTCGTTTGCACAGAATGGAAGTGTGCTTGGCACAAAGCATCTTTTGACACCTGGAGTTGTGGAACTTCACGTCTAAAAAAAAAAGCTTACAACTGCACCCTAAGACCTCCCCTGGTCCCCTCCCACCAGCCCCAGCCAGCAGAGTTGATGGGTGGGGATGATGGGGTTTGTAGTCCAAACAGCTGGGTGGCATTAGGTTGAGGACAGTCAGTTATAGCCTCTGAATTCCAGGGTCCATAGAGCACAGTGGCACAGATCTCTGGGTGTGGGTGGCAAAGAAAGGCATTTTGCCCATGCTCAGTGGCACCTTTTCTTTGCCGAATGCACCAGAGCAGCTCTGTCTCCAAGAAGCTGCCCCACTGGAGACGTCTGAAGTTTTTCTGATGAAAAAGAAACATGCAGCAAGGGGGAAAATACTCAGCAGCTGAAGGAGGGCACTTCACAACAGCCACGCCGTACACTTTGCTCAGCTTCCTGTTGAGATCAGCCCTTTATTTAGAACCATGAGGACTGGAAACATGGGAAGGTCTGTAGCTGAGGGGCAGGAAATGCGCCTAGTACGCTGTGTGCCGGGTAGCATGTGCTGGCACAGTTCCTTTACTTCCCCAAGGAGACCTTTTTTATCCTGCCTTTTCCCCTCTTGCAAGGCACTGATGTTCAGCTGCTTTGCCGGGGAGCACAGGCACATTTCTGCAGCCTCTGCATGGCACGCTGGGGGTGAGGAAGGCTGCAGTGCAGGAGGCCGCCTGGTGCCGGAGCGGCTGGCTGGACAAGTTTTCGGTGCCCTGCCCTGCCCCGTTCCTGAGGTTTTGTCTGTGCCGCTTGAAATGACTGCTTGGATTTCTCGAAAGGGAGAGGCGGGGGGGGGGGGGCTGATGCAACCTCAGTGCAAGCCATTTGTGACGACTCTTCGCACCTGGCCGGCTCAATCCAGCGTCTCCCGGGGACAAAAAGCGGTGCTGGGGCTGAGCCGCGTGCGTGTTGGCTCGCCTTCGCCTCTGCCTCTTGGTTGCTGGCTTGCCTGCTGCGGAAGGCAAGATGCCATCACAAGAGCAAGGGTTCTTGAGGATATGCAGAGTGCTCCCTCCTCGCTTATCGAAGGATAAGGATCTGCCGCCTCTTGAGCACAAATACTAGCATTTTAAGATAAATATGTGTAACTCTTTGCAGAGGGACAGTTGCCTGGCGCTTCCTTCTCAGAAGGCCCACCTGGTGTGAATTCTTCAGCCGGTCCCTCATTGAATGTGTAGCTGCACACCTCTGTGTGTCTGATCTCCCTGTTTCCCCCACTCTTTCCCCTGCCCCTCCTCTCCCTCAGTCATGAGGCAAATTTGGAAGCTCCTTGTGGGCAGGGAACTGTCAAAGTGTTTTTGTTGTACATTACCCTGAGCCTTTTCTTTTGAGGGAGGCTTCTAAGATCATGTGGTTATTAATAACAGTAATCATAGTGCATATGGAGGGAGCTATTTAAATATGTTTTTTGCATCAGCCCGGCTTGGGGCGGCGTTGCGCATGTATTTCTTGGATGGTTGCCATCTCCCGCGTCGTTGTGCTGCTGAGCACAGGAATGGGTACAGATAACTGGGTCCGGTTCCAGATTGTATCCAGTAACAACTTGTGTAATCTATAAGTGCCCTGGTTTAACCCTGGAGGGGCCTCCCTTTCCTGCAGAGGTGGGCTTTTGCCTTCCCTCCCTCCCACGTGAGAATTGCCTTGGTGGATCTGAGCAAAGTCCACCTGGGCCAGCGGCCTGTTTCTGGCAGGACTGTCTTCGTGCTGTGTGCAAACTGCAAAGACACGTTTGTTTCCAGCAGAAATACAGAGATGCAGGAGACAAATCAGGCCCGTGGCGGGGTCCAGGGATGCTGCTTGGTCCTGGAAAGAACCGGGGTTCTGACTCGCAAACAAGGAATCCAGTGCACACTCTTGTGTATACCTATTTGCATGTGCTCCACAGAGTCGTGTGTGTTTAAGGACCTATTCTCCTGTGGACACTAGTATTTGGGAAAGGGGGTGCATCAACAGGGCAGAAGAGGGCATTCGATTTTGGGGAACCCTCAAGCAGAAAGATTTGGGGCAGGGGGGCAAGTGCCCACAATACCCACAAGGAAAACAGTCCACTCGATATTTCCCAGGTGTTGCTGTTCTGCCTTCAACCTGTCCATGCAAACAACCCTGCGCTTCCATCTGGGTTTGCTCTCAACCTTGTCAGAATTCTGGGTTACTTTTTGTAGAAGTGTTCAGTTTCCATGCCTGGCACCTTGCAGACGTCTTGAACCCCAGATCTTGTCGGCCCCAGGCGTGCAGAGCCTGTGGTCAGGCATGCTAGGAGTAGCAATCCAAATTTTCTGGGGGCACCTGGTGGGGGGAGGCAGTATGCCACCTGCTCAAATCTCCCCAGGTGGGCTTCTCCTCCCAGTTGAACCGGGAACTGAAGCAACTGGGGTGCACCGTCACACCAGTCCGTGCCAGTAAGCCAAACCTCGGTGCTGTTCTTACTCATCCTTACGTGGGAGCTGGCTTTGTGACCGTAAAGCTGCTGCAGTGCAAATTTCAGAACCCTTTGAAAAACGAAAGTGGGCATTTGCATCTAAGAAGAGCTTGTTCTTTCTTTGGCTTCCCCGCTTCCTCTCCTACCCGCTGCTCTCCCTGCAGTGTGGTTCAGCGGAATACATGGCCCCGGAGGTTGTGGAGGCGTTTAATGAAGAGGCCTCCATCTATGACAAGCGCTGTGACCTGTGGAGCTTGGGGGTCATCCTGTACATCATGCTGAGTGGCTACCCCCCATTTGTGGGGCACTGTGGAACTGACTGCGGTTGGGACCGTGGGGAAGCATGTCCAGCCTGCCAGGTGAGTGAAGCCAGCTTCCAAAACCCAGAAGCAGTTAAAGCATTTGCTCATGGGCTTCTGCTTTCCTCTTCGTTCTTCCACTCTGAGGAACTGCTAAGCCACTGTCCTGCCTTAGGGGGCTCCTGTGAGACTTGCTGGCCTCATTATGCAAAGTGCTGGCCAAAAGGGAAGTCTGGGCCTGCTCTGCGGCTGTTTGCCCTGGAGCTCTCAAGTCCACCTACCAATGCCTGCTAGAAAAGCCACCTGCTTAGAATTCAGGAATTTGCAGCCCCAGAAGCAAATGTATTTCTCCGTTCTGCATGCCTGGCCCTTTTCTGCTGTGCATTCAGAGCTTTCTGCACTGGAGCGTTACTTTTAGGAAACCTGGGTGCGGGGGAGTGTGGAGTGACATGGTGTTGCATTTAGGGGAGGCCATAAAGCTTTGTTAATCACCCAGATGGCAAGCAGGGCTTAGATTTGCTTTAGAAGACTGGAAAGTCGACTCTTTCTGATAGAAACTTGTATAGAAGGAAACGGGCAAATGGGTCTGGTTTTGCATAGGCTGGAAAGCTCTTAGTGAAGGGCTCCAGGGCCAGCACCCAAGGTAGAAATGAGTGGGCACTTGCCATGGGAGCCACCCTCCAGCAGGGGCCTGTGGATAGGACCCCTGTGTAGTTTCTCCCGCTCTTCTTCATGCCCTCTGGGTGGTTCTGCTGTCTCTTGCATTGGCCACTGTTCCTTTGAGGGAGGTCTGCCCCATAGCAGGAAGGAGGGAGAGGCCAAATTACTTTGGCCCCAATCCAGCTTCAAACTATACAGACTGCAAATGGAATGTGACAGCTATGGAGCTACTCTGTAACTTAGAATTAATTAAAATAAATAAATAAATACACTACGCCCCCCCCCCCCCGGTGTGTCCACCCCAGGGCTCTGTTAACATACATGCCAAGTTTCAGGTGTCTAGGTTTCGCAGGTATGACATTGCATTAGAAACATAGCAAGCCAGAAGGGTCTCCCAGGCCATCTAGCCTGACCCCCCAGCTCTATCCAGCTCTGCTCATGTAATACCCAATATATTATTTCTTGTCCACCTGCCGGCTGAAGTGGCACAGGCCATTCTGTTACTTGAGGACTGTACCATCTCATCTAGACACAGGCATTAGACCAAGCCAGACATGAATGCTCCCAAGGTGCTTCAACGCATCACATTCTCAGTCGGCTTTTGCATAGGGTAGAACAGTCTGGAATGTGTACTGTGTTCACAGTGGGCACTCCTCTTACTTTGCAGGGCTGAAAACATTCAGTTTGTCAGAGGGAGATGGACGGGGTTGTCTACAGGGAGAGAGGCTTGCCGTTATCCCCATTTTACAGATTATAGTGGGAAAGACTGAGGCATTCAGAATAACAGCTGTTCTTCAGAAAGCAACCAGCACTGACTTGGTAGCTTTTGAGCTCGTCTCCTGCATGCATTTGTGTTGGGGAGGAAACCATGGGTTAGATTTAAATGGGCCTTTGGATACAACTTCCCCTCCGTGTTTCTTCTTCCAGAACATGTTGTTTGAAAGCATCCAGGAGGGGAAGTATGAATTCCCGGACAAAGACTGGGCTCAGATCTCTTTTGAAGCTAAAGACCTCATTTCCAAGCTCCTTGTGAGAGATGCCAAGAAGCGCCTGAGCGCAGCTGAAGTCCTCAAGCATCCCTGGGTACAAGGGGTAAGAGTTTTTTTCTGATGTGGGTGTGTGGTTGATTTGTGAGCTTGGATTCATTCCATGCCGCATTCTGAAAGGCTGAAGTGTTTTCCTGAAGTTGTAGCTAGGGGCAGAAAGAACTTTACTGTTTTGGGACCTTTGTTGTCAGACCTGCCTAACACTGGAATTCAGCTTTTCCGGCTGGAATGTGGCCGAAAAAGCAGGCTTGCAATCTCCTGCTTTAGCATATCCTTGGGGATCCACTGGAATGAAATCTCTGCCCATGTACAGAGTGCCTCCTTCAGACTGTGGAGCACACCATATTCATCTGAGCATGGAAATCGCTGGACGGAGTATGACTTAGTACTGGGTTTTGTTGCAGCACTTCTGTTCAAAAGGAAAGGGAGAACTGGGACCAGAAATCTTGTAATTATTATGATCAGAGAGCTATCAGAAAATATTTATATAAGCTGGTGCTTCTACATCTTCCTAGAGCAGTGGAGGAACCATTTACACTGATGTTGCATTAAGTTTCAAGAGACGAGTAGATCATTTAGAGGAACGCGTGTGGATAAATATTAAAGACCTTTCCGTCATAGTGTTTATCCATATTATGACCTCCTCTCCAATAGAAGCAGCCACGGGGCCTGCCAGACCATATAAATGAGAGAAACATCAGTTCTATGAACCCTCCAGGAGTTGGCCAGTTTAGACAAACCCTTACTGAAAAGATGCCGTGGCATCCAGTATATGCAAAATAGTCATTTTTGTGGAAGTAAACATAACCTGGTAGCTTTTGCTGCTACTGCTAAATATAGACAGTATGAGTCCTGCAAAGCAGGTGGATGGGCATGTGCGTATCCACAGGAAGCTGGCTAGTATGGGAGATAATTCCCAGGTGAGAGGGAAAAAGTGAACCTGAGGCGAGTTCTGGGTATCTCTCCATAGCATTCTGTAAACAGGTGCCCTGCAGAAGTTTTGGGTTGGAACTCCCTTCATCCCCAGCCAAGTGGGCCATTAATTTTATTGTTTGTTTGTTTGTTTGTTTGTTTAAAACATTTCTATGCTGCCCCCATCACAACAAAGCCTCGGGGCGGCTCACAGCATAATTAAAACATATAAATAACAATTTATACAATTAAAGATTAAAAAGCCCGGTAACATCTGGGCTTAAAAATTTAAAATCCTATAAATACATAATAAGTTAACAATTAAAGTAAGCTTTAAATAAAAAGGTCTTAGCCTGGCGCCGAAAAACAAATAACGACGGCACCAGGTGGACCTCTCTGGGGAGCGCATTCCAGAGGTGGGGCGCCACCGCAGAGAAGGCCCTCCTCCGGGTACTCACCCTCCTAGTATCCTTCACGGAGGGTTCCCTGAGAAGGGTCTCAGCCGCCGATCTCAGGGGGCGGGAGGGCATATATGGACGCAAGCGTTCCTTTAGATAACCATGTCCCAAGCCGTTGAGGGAATTGGTCCCGGACTGCAATGGGGAGCCAGTGGAGTTGATGGAGAACTGGAGTCATGTGAACATAACACCCAGTCCCCGTCAGTAGCCTGGCAGCTCTATTTTGCGCCAATTGAAGTATCCAGACTGTCTTCAAGGGCAGCCCCACGTAGAGCGCGTTGCAGAAGTCTAATTGGGAAGTTACCAACACGTGTGCCACCGTCGCCAGGCAGCCGTTCTCCAGGTAGGGATGCAGCTGATGGGTCAGCCGAAGCGGAAAGAAATCTCTCCTTGCCACCACCGTCACCTGAGCTTCTAGTGACAGCTCTGGGTCGAGGAGCACTCCCAAGCTGCGAACCCTGTCCCTCAGAGAGAGTGCAACCCCATTTAGAACAAGGCCCAAGTCCCCCATCCCGAGGCCCGAGCCACCCACCAACAGAACCTCCATCTTGTCTGGATTGAGCTTCAGTTTGTTGGCCCTCATCCAGCCCATTACCTCGGCCAAGCACCGGTTCAGCACAGCCACTGCCTCACCTGGATTGGTGGAAAACGAGAGGTAGAGCTGGGTATCATCAGCATACTGATGGGTCCGCAGCCCACACCTCCTGATGACCTCTCCCAGCGGTTTCATGTAGATGTTAAACAGGAAAGGGGACAAAATGGACCCCTGCGGTACTCCATGGCATAGCTGCCATGGCGCAGAGCCACAGTCCCCCAGCACCACCTTCTGGAAACGGTCATTGAGATAGGATTGGAACCACCGCAACGCGGTGCCTCCAACCCCCAATCCCGCCAGGCTTTCCAGAAGGATACCATGGTCGATGGTATCGAAAGCCGCTGAGAGGTCCAGGAGAACTAACAGGGATGCACTCCCCCCGTCTCTCTCCTCCTGTCTCTTTTATTATAATTATTATTCTGTTCTATTTATTATACTTGAAATATTAATGGGAGTTGCAGCCAATGTATCTGCGAGGCACCAGCTTGGCAAAAGCTGCGGTCGAAACACAATGGAAAATGCTCAGGCAGGATGGAGTTTTATTCTGTCCTTGGAAGAAGCCATTCTCGTACAAGCCAGCTCTGTTTTCCTTCAAGCCAGCAGGAATGTGTATGGAGGCATCATCACTGGGGGAATTATTTTTCTTTGGTGCTCTCTGGGCTGTAAGAACCATTTGTTGTATGCTGGATGGGCAACACCCTTGACCATTTTTTCTGGCCTGGTTTAAGTCTGGTCTTTCATTTCCTTTTTCCAGTTTGCTCGGGATAATACTCTTCCAGCTCCAATCATTCTACAAAGGTAAGTGGAATCTTTTGCCCACGATTCTTTCTTTCAGCCTCCAGGACTGAACAAACAAAGGAATTGCACCTATTGTGGTAACTCACATAGTTTTTCGTTAGGCTGTACATCAATCGCAAGAGCTTCCTATAGGCCTGCCAGGCCAGGTTTAAGTTTTGAGTTCTTGTTTAAATAATTAACCTCGCATTCCTGAAACGATCCCTCAGAATTCCTTGTTGGCCAGTGGTGCTGAAGAATCTGAAGGCTGAGTCCTTCATAGATATTTCTCTGGTGGTCGCCACGATTTGGAGGTTCGTTCCTTCATAGCTTGGAACAGGGCTTCCAAGTATCTTAGCGTCTATCATCTGGAAGTTCCTACCTCTGCCATTGTTCAGGGGTTCTGGATCAATTGGAACCTGCCTTTTCCAACAGGCCTTCCAAGCTGCTCTTATTCTCTGTTTGGAATCGTACATTGCTTAGAAATGTCTTTAACATAAACAATCCATAAATATTGTTCAATAAATGACGAAGACCTCTGCGGTCAGAAGCTGTCCACCTCCAGATATAAAGAGATTCTGGGAAAACAAGGCAGGAGGACTCTTTTTTTATAATAAGTTTTATTCAAAATAACCCTACAACAAAGAAAAACTAAAAACAACATCACTCATCAGAAACATCGGACCTGCTGGGTCACTCTCCACATATTTTTCTATTTATGATAACTTAAAAACATATTTAAATCTATATGAAGTCCCGTTTCTCTAGCCAATGATAAAAAGAGTTCCAAGTTTGATAGAAATCAGTATCTTCTTTCTCCTTCAATGACAAAGTCAATCCATCCATTTCTGCACAGTCCAAGATCTTTTTTAGGATCAGTTTGTCGGTGGGTGGTTCTTCACTTTTCCAGGGTTGTGCAAATGCAATCCTTGCCGCAGTGATTACATGTAAAATCAAATACATTTCTTGTTTACTAATATCAACAGGTATAATGCCTAATAAGAAGGCTTCAGGTTTAAAAACTAGGGATTTTTGTAGCATTTCCTCAAGCCATTTATGTTTTTTAATCCAATATTTTTTCGCATTATCGCGAGTCCACCACATATGATAGAAAGTACCCAATTTATGTTTACATTTCCAACATCCATTTGACATATTTGGAAACATCTTAGCTAATCTATTTGGCGACAGATACCATCTATAAAACATTTTATACAGGTTTTCTTTATACGAAGTTGCTAATGTTACCTTAATATTTCTCTCCCACAGCTTTTGCCATTTTTCTAATTCAATATTATATCCAAAGTTTTGTGCCCACATTATCATAGTTTCCTTAACCTGTTCATCTTCCATTCTCCTATCGAGTAAGAAATTATATAGTCTTTTAATCATTTTCTCATCTGATTTAAGCATCACCTGATCAAATGCTGTTAAATCTTTATAAAAGCCCCACATTCTATAGTCTTTAGCATATCTCGATTGTATCTGTACCTTATGCCACCAAGAAATATCAGATCCTTGTTCTTGTGTTTCTTGATTCAATTTCAATCCTCCATCATTATCCAAAATGTTGTCATATCTTACGATAGTTCAGCGCTTTTGGATATACAAAAGCTTCCATAGATGAAAGTCATCTTGGTAATTTATTATACAGTTTTGTCTTTAACTTTTCCCACACCGACATTAATGATTTCCTAATATAGTGACTTAAAAAAGAGCCATGTAGCTTAGCCTTTTCATACCACATATAAGCATGCCAACCCAAATATGCCCTTCAAGATACAAGATTCTCTTATTTCTTAAAATTATCCATTCTTTTAGCCGCGTTAATACAGAAGCTTGATAGTACAGCATCCGATCAGGGAGACCAAAGCCCCCATTCTCTTTAGCCTCCTGAAGTATTTTTAGTGTAATCCTTGGTTTCTTCTTTCACCATATAAATCCTGAGATTTGAAAATTTAAATCATCAAAAAATTTTCCATCAATTTTTATGGGAATAATTTGGAATAGAAACAAAATAGAAACAAAAGCTTTGGTAATATATTCATTTTAACTAGCGCTATTCTTCCCAGCAAGGATAATTGCAAATTAGCCAATTTTTCCAAATCACTCTTAATATCCTTAAATAGATTATCATAATTGTCTTCTTTCAGAGTGGTACACTTAGCTGTAAGATAAATTCCCAGATATTTAACCTTTTTAACAATCTGAAAGTCTGCTTGTTCCACCAGAGTTTTTCTCTGCTCCTGTGTGAGATTTTTTACTAACAATTTCATCTTTTCTCTATTTTTTTTCATCCCAGTAACCTCGCCATACTCTTCAATCCTTTGTAGGAGTTTAGGCATCGTTGCAAAGGGTTCCTCCGTTATGAAAACTTGATCATCTGCAAATGCTTGCAGTTTATCGCTTTCATCTCTGATTCTAGTACCTTTAATGTCGATATTGTCCCTGATATTTCTCTTTAACACTTCTAAGATCAATATAAACAACATAGGTGAAAGCAGACATCCTTGTACCCTTTTGTATATCTATAATATTTGTAAATTCTCAATTGATTATAATCCTAGCAGACTGCTTTTGATAGATGCTTGATATCGCATTAATAAACTTCTCACCAATCTCCATTTGAGCTAGCTGTTGCTTCATAAATTGCCAGTTAACATTGTCAAAAGCCTTCTGTGCATCCATGAATAACAGTGCCATTGGTTTTTCCGTATGTATCTCATAATACTAAGATGTCCAGGATAGTTCTCAAGTTATTCCTTATTTGTCTTTTAGGTAAAAAACCATTTTGATCTGAGTGAATAAAGTCTGTTAGATACTTCTTCAATCTTTCTGCCATTATGGAGGCAAAAATTTTGTAATCCACATTTAATAGTGATATAGGTCTATAGTTTTGAATCTGCGTCAAGTCCGTGTCTTCTTTTGGTATTAATGTGATATTTGCCTCTGTCCAAGTATTTGGTATTTTAGCATTTAACAGTGCAGTATTACATATTCCTTAAGAAGCATAGCAAAAATTTCTTCAAAGGATTTATAAAACTCTGGCCAGGAGTTTTGTCGTTCTTTTGTCGCTTAATAGCCTCTATTACTTCAGTGATTGTTACTTCTTGATTCAATACTTTTGGTATTTCTCTGGTAACTTTGGCAGGTCTCCCTTTCAGATGTATTATTTTACTTTCTCAGTTGAAATCTCATCATTCTGGTATAGCTTTGCAAAGAAATCTTCCGCTGTTCTCTTGATATGTGTACTTTGTACTTGCAGTCGTCCTTCTCCGTCCTTCAATTTACTTATCAGTCTCTTCTCTCTTTTCTTTCTTTACTTTATAGGCTAACCATCTCCCTGGTTTATTAGCATTTTCAAAGAAGTTCTGTTTGGTCAATTTCATTTGCTTAGTGAGTTCATTTGTGTCCAGGAGGTTCAGTTTATGTTTTAGAATATTCATTTGTACCTTAAGGTTTTTTTTGGATGGATCTTCCTGTAATTCTTGTTCACATTTCGTCAATTCCTCTACTATTTTAGCTCGTTCTTGTTTTTTCCTTTTGTTTATTTTTTCTGAGTATGTTATTATCACCCCTCTGACATAGGCTTTGGCTGTAATCCAGACATTTTGCAAAGAGGTTTCTTCAGTTTTATTTATTTAAAAAAATACTTATTTCTTCTGTGAATTTTTCATCCTTTAATAAGGCTTTGTTTAACCTCCATCTGGGTGTTTTTACTGTCCCTTTCAGTGATATAGCTACAGGGTTGTGATCTTTCCAGATATTTGTCTCTATTTCAGCTTCTAGCAAGTCTGGTACTAAGTCTGGGGTTATCCAAACCATATCAATTCTAGACCATGACTTATGTATATTTGAATAGAAAGTATATTTAGCAGAGGTTGGGTTTTTATGTCTCCAAACATCTATCAATCTGAATGCTTCAACCATATTAGAACAAGACTTTGGAAGTATCCTCCAAGGCAGGAGGACTCTTGTGGCTTGTTAGTTTATTGAAATTATTAATAATAAGGAATAAACTAATATCACATACTTCCCTTCATGTTGATGAGGCAAGGTTGTCTGCAGAATCTCAATATACTGGACGAGAAAAGCAATCAGGTAGCACTGACAGCCATTTTTCTCAACCTGGTAGGCAAGACTGGGATGGACGACAGCCAGAAACAAAGATAGAAACCTAGAAACAGCGCGAGTCAGAAGGGACCTCCTGGGCCATCTAGTCTGACTCCCAGCTCCAGCCGGCTCCACTCACGACATGCCCACCATGTGCATGTCCAGCCTGTCCTTGAGCACCCGCACCGATGGGGCCTCAGCCACCTCCCGGGGAAGCCCATTCCACACCCTCGGGGTCCTGACTGTCAGGAAGTGCCTCCTGGCATCCAAGTTGAACCTGGGTTCCCTGAGCTTTGCTCCGTTGGAGCACATCCTGCCTTCCTCTGCAGGGGAGAACAGCTCTCTGCCCACCTCCATGTGATCTTCCAAGATATTGGAAGGACCACTCAATGCACCTTCTTAAAATGCCTAAGCGACTAAATCTTTTTCCCCAGGAGCTCAGAAGAATATGTTGCTGGTGCCTGTTAAACTACCTCCACCAAAGTTTGGGGGAGACCCCCCAGAACCTCCCATTACCATTTTATGTACCTGTTTTGCAGCCTTGGGCTCCCTCCTTCACCAGAGGCGGAATACCTGCATGCACCCCTTGCTGAGGAACTGGGGCAGAGGGAGGCCTTCCCCCATCCTACCTGGGGGACACTGTGGGCAGCTGGTTTGCCACCATGTGTACAGGGTGCTGGACTGGATGGACCTTAGCCCTGATCCAGCCGGACTTTTCTTATTTCCTAATTAGCTTGCATGTGGGCCGTGCAGAATAAGCCTTTGGTTTCAGGCAGGGTTTCCATCCTTAATTCTTTGTGGGGCTTCCCACATGTGCCTGCCCAGGCCCTCAGGTCTACAAAGGAGATCCTCCTGAAGGAGCCCCACCCTCAGGAAAGAAGCAGGGTGGCTATAAGGAGAAGGGCCTTCTTGGGAGTGGCACCCCAACTTTGCAACCAGCTCCCCAGAGAGGTCTGCCTAGCCCCCTCTTTGCCTTCTTTTCAGCACTAGGCAAAGACCTTTTCATTCTCCCAATATCTTAACTGTTAGAATGATTTTAACGCACTTAACATTTTATATCAGGCTGTAAATTGTTCTGCCTTTTAGGCTGATCTGGGCATCTGTCAAGTTTGTCAACAGCCATGGTTTTGCTTTGTTAGAATTAATCATTTTCACAGTAATGATACTGCAGATTGTTCTGCATGTTTCTTAATTTGCAGCTTCCCCAGGGCAAGCAAATAAACAAACAAGACGTGGGCTGAGATTGCGACACTTCACTGTGGGGTTCGAGCCTTCCAGAGAACCACCTGCCAAGGGAATTCACCTCCTTTCTGTCGCTGTCCTTGCAGGAACAGCAGTGCCAAAGAGCTGACATCATTTGCTGCTGAAGCCATTGCGATCAACCGTCAGCTGCGACATGACAAGGAGGATGCGTCCGAGAGCTTGCCCTTCATCATCAAAACTACCTCTTGCTCCATCCAGCTGTCTCCACCTTTCGAGTCCAAATTGGCCAAGCGACGCCAGAAAAGCAGTATAGCAAAAACTGATGGCATGCAACGCCGGGTGGCTCCAGTGGTCCTCTTGAGAGATCCTATGTGAATTCCTCTTCTTATACACACCCACTTTCTCTTCCCTTCTTCCCTTTTTACTTCTCCCCATTTTGTGCATTTGGGACAAAATAAAAATACTGTTTGAATAGCTAGAAAAACAAGATCAGAATCTTCTCAAGTTGGCTGGCTTCCAAGGATTTTTTTTTTCCTGATCTTGTTTTTTGGCTGGCTTTCCCTTTCTCCCCTCTCCTTCTCTGCTTTCCTGAATTAAAAACAGGTATTTTAGACTTTCTTGCATCACCTCCCCTCATACAGGTGAATTTTAATACATTTGTAATACAGAAGTTTTGCTTTAAAAACAAAGAATTGCCATCAGATTTTTCTTCCATTCCCCCAAAGATTCCAAGTTGATCTCCATGTCTCCGCTGAAGGACAGCTCAAATAACTGGCTACTGTTTTTTTATTATTATTATTTTATTTTTCTGTCCTCTTTCCATACTGTGAAAAATGGGGAATAGCCCTCCTGTTTGAAGTCCTCAGCTTTTAAAGGTAGCATTCTAATGTTTGGGTATTCTCTCTTTTTTCTTTTGTTTTTTACATGGTAGTTTGCTCTTGGTTTCTCTTCCCTTTTTTTTCTTTTTAAAGAATCTGTTGTATACATGCAAATTCTGAGACTGAAAACTGTTGTGCAGGTCAGCGGTGGCTGGAGATTTGCTTGACCCGTTTCTTCTTCCAGAAAGTACTGGGGTGCTGATGGTATAGGGGATGTGATTCAAGGCCACGTATATTTCCCATTTTCGCCTGCACAGGATCATTTCTAAGACTGGATTCTTTAAGTGACAAGCTGTCAGGGCGGGGAGGTTTCTGGGTACCCGTGGGATTAAAAAGAAGAAACAGCAGCAGCCCTGGAGCCCCTCTCCACAATTTCAAGGAATTTTTTTGGAAATTTATTTATTGGAGCTGTTGTTTTTTTGTTTTTATTTTTTTTCCAAAAGGGCCCAGCTAAATCTCTTCCAGGCGAAAATGGGAAATGGAAGTGCTCCTTGTTTTAAGAATAAATGATATGATGTAGGGTTCCCCCTAATTTTTGCAGAGGTGGGGGCAATAAGGTACAATACAATTGATTGTTTCTTGTTGTCCTAGGAAACCTGAGTTGTCTTTTCTTAAAAAAAAAAAAAACAGGGAAAAGTTACCTCAAGGTTAAGCAAACCCATGTTCTTTGCAGCACTTAAAAAAAGGCAAGCCATGTGATAGCTAGTAAATTTTGAAAGTGACTGGTTTAAGAAAATAAACATCAGGGGAAGAGCTTTTGGGGCCCTCCTGATCTTTTGATGATAATCCTCAGAAAAAGAAAAGACAACTTCAACTTCTCCTACAGTTGTGTGTTCAAAACAAATGGGGTGGTGAGTCCCTTAAAACAGAGAAAGCGGGACTTGCAGAGATAACCTCCTACAGCATTTGGGTCTTTATACTTGGGTTCTGCATGGCTTGGACTTTGTCAGAAACCAGTGAAATGGTTGTCTACTACAGAGAGCTGAGTGGCAGTGGGCCTTTACTTGCTCTCCCGCAGTCCTTGCAAAATTTCAGCTCCCACAGTGAGGGCATTTCTCTGTGTAAGTGAAAGAGAAAGAGGTGGAAGCTCCAAATTTGAAGTTAAATGTGAAAGCTTGTGGAAGTTTCTGGGGTGGTGCATTTACAGAGATACACATCAGAAATTTGCTTTTTTGAGGGTGAAAAGAACTAAGAAAACACCAGCGGATTGGGTGCATCTGGCAATCTTGGGGTGACAAACGCATGAGTTCCTCGACAATCCAGGAGCAGTGCTATTTGCGTTCTTCTGAATGCTGATTTTCGATGCAATTGAAGGCAAGATTTGCAAGACTGGAAAGTAAACAGCTGCTCTCCTCTTTCCCTTTGGATTTTGGAAATAGTGCAAAAAAGCCTCAGAGAAATGTGGATTAGGCTCAGATGACTAGGTAGACTGGCTGAAATCATTTGGACACGTTGGTTATATGTTCACTGATTTTAGTGGGTCTGCTGTCAGTGTGATTCTGGATCTAACTCCCCTGCCCCTGTGCATTCTTACTCCTGGTTTGAAACCTGTAATGACATAGTTACCACAATGCTTTTTCCACCCCAGCAAAAGCTGATCAAGTGATAAGGGGCTAAGGGGGGGCGGGGGGCTTAGCTTGCTTCTCCCATTTAAAGCCTGGGCCGTGCCAGGACATGATGACTACTTTCGGGGTTCCTTAATCCCCTCCTCCCTGATGTTTGGCAGCTGCCATCTTAATTCCCCGTAAAGCCCTGCAGGGCTGCTGTGTTGGGAGCATCATGGGAAATTAAAATGGCAGCCCACAATACAGATCTGTATGCACAGTCCACTTATGGGAAGTGCATCCCTTTTAGAGACTGCTTTGCTTCGCTTCGCTCTGTTCTGCTTTGCTTCGCTTTGCATATGTTTGCACACCCACAGCCTGACTCTGGCCACTTGGTGGAGAGGCAGAGTTGTATGCCGAGCCTTTCAGCCACTTCCCAAGAGCAGCAGGTGCTGGGACCCAAAAGTCACTAGTGTGTTTCCTGAAAATGCTGGGCTACGTACAGGGAGAAAAAGGCCGTTGCGCACAAACCACAAAAGTTACTGTACCACAAAAGTTGTTGGCATGTGGCAGTCGGCAGCTATTCTGGGGTTTTATCCTGCCCTGCTTACACAAATGCCCGATCTCCTCATTGCCTGTTCAAGAGTGTGGCCCAGGCTGTACGGTTATTGCATTTCCAAAGCAACGAATCAGGTCAGGGTGTCTGACAGAAAGTCCGGTAAACAGGATAGGAGCCTAAATACCAGCTTGTTTCAACAAAGTCCAACAGCACTGATAACAACGCTTGTTTGCAATACAGAGCAACTCCACCTGGACTAATTTATGGCCAGCTTTAACTCTGCACAGCCGGCTAATTAGGCCAGAGTGTTGCTTTTTGGACAACTTCCCCTTCAGCGTGCCCAAATTTCTGTTGAAGCCATGCCCTGCTCCTTTCCTTCTGGCTCTGGCTCTTGGGGAACCACAGGGGGTCTCCCAGCATCTCTCCTCTAATGGGGGGCGGTCACCTGCAGCCATGGCCCCTGTAGCTAACCATGACTGGCGCTCGCCGCCCTGGCTTTCCTCGGCTGAGGATTCCTCCTCCAGGTAGAACATGACATATAAATGCAGTGCCTTTGATAATGGGAGGGCTGGAGATGCTTGGAAAGGTGCCGGTTACTACCAGGATGATGCGGCCCAGTTGGAAGCCTAGCTTTCCCCCACCCAGCACTCCAAAAAGAAGCTTTTTCCAGCTGGCATCAACTGGGGCTACTGGGAGCTGTAGTCCAAGAGATCTGGAAGGCATTGGGTTAGGATTGGTTGTGAAGTGCTTGTTCCGTAGAATTTTTAGCTCTCTGCTTGCCTCCCTCAAATGGCTTAAAACTGGATGGATAGCAGCTTTTTAAGAATTAAGAACAGAATTTTGTACTGTCAAGTTTCTTCTGTACTATTTTACTTTCATACTGTCCCTCTTTAGGCAAAACGACAGGTAGGCCTGCATATTCATGTGTGATCAAGTCCTGTTGAATACTTGTCAGCCTTGCTTCTGAGAAAGCAGGATTGGGGCAACCTCCAGATTGGGTAGATGGGCAAGAATGAAATCACCCTGGATTGGATAGGATGTTTCACTGGATTTTTTGGGCTTACATCTGAGTAAACATGGAGGGGGCGGCATTGCTATTTCAGCCCTGGAGGGCAAGGGGAGAGAAGCTTTGGGTACTTCAAAAGGATTAGGAAGGTGACTTTGAAACTTAGGGAATTATAGCTCATGGGGTGTTGAGCTTAATTTGGTTGGTCTGAAGATTGCCAGGTCTGGGGAGAGAGCTCTGAAACATCAGCTCTTAAGACGCCCACTTTCAGATTCTCCGAACTACCTGTTCTTCATTTCCAAGCCCCCAGGTTGTTTTTGTCTTGTGACAAGAGTCCGTCCAAAGAATAACCTTCTCAAATTCCATTCAAATCCAAATTTGCAAACATCAACTCTGGTTGTTGGAAGTCTTGTGCTCATGTGTCTTAAATGATGCTTTTCTCAGAATATTTTTAAAGAAGGCTGACAATACTATGCAATAGGTGTTAAGGATTTTTTTTAATATTTTCGGTGGGGTTGAAGTAGGTGCCAGAAAATACATTTTTCTGGTACCCAACTACTGGATTACAAATGGTTTTTGAGAAGTGAACTGAAATAGCTTGACTTACACCTCCTTTTCTACTTTAGGGAATCCCCCCCTAGATTCTTGTGCCCCATTGTTTATTGTTCTTTGAGGTGTGGGGGAACAGGTTGAATCATGGGGTGCACAACATATTGGGTAATGGGAGCACCTCAAATCCAAGCAAACTGTGATATCAGATAAAGCAGTGTGTTGTCTTTTAAGGGAAAATAATATATGTTTTTAAAAATATAATGCATTTTGTTATTCATTGCAGATCTTAGTCTTAAATCTTTGACCCTCGAGTGCATGAATGCCATTTTGCTGTGAAAGAGATCCAGACACTACAAGTTAGAGCTTTATACATGTTTTAGGGGAATGTGTTTAAATGTTTCCTGCCAAGCCGTGAAGGCCACTCTTGTTGGCATCTGGGACAGAACATCTTGGGACATCTGGGTTACTTTGCTGGAAAACTGGGAGACTTTCTCTGGCCTAGCCCCCAACATATTTTAAATCTGTAGAGAAAACTGTCTCGTGTCTTGGCAGTCCCAAAGCGTGGGCCTACCATCCCCGGAGTGCCATGACTGAGACCCATGATGTTTAAAACAGGTTCTGAAATTAATTAGAAATATTATGTTACAGACAAATGATCAGTTTCTTGCTTTGAAAAGGACCTGAGGTGGAAAGGGAAGCACCCAGTTGCCCTTGTTCTTAAAAACAGGACGTTTCAAAAATTGCAGGTAGAGAAGCTGTTTTGTTTTTGAAAGTATATCCTGGACCGGCTGGAAGTCATCCATAATCCACAGGGCCCTCTGGCATCCCTGGATGTAGTGACTAAGCAGCGCTTCCTTAGATGTCTCTATGTGATTCTCTGCATCCTTTGCGTTTACCATCCTGTTTTGAAGAAGGGGTTCACCTTCTTGTCTTTCCCAGTTTTATAATTTAAAGGGCCAAAAACTCAGTGATTTCTGAACGTTTTTACGACATGCACAAATTGCTTTGGAAACCTTGTGAGCCACAAATGGCTTGTGGGGTTCAGCATCCGCACAGATATTCCTGACAAGAATTTGCATCCCATTCTTCAAATACGGATTGTTCTCAGGATTGTTGCAGCCTGTGAAAGATTCCTCAGCGATCCCATTTTGCCTTCTCTCTCTTTGACTTAGTGCACAATATTTAAAAACAAAAACAAAAAATGCCATCAACCAGCATTACTCAAGTTCATTAATAATCTAGTCTTCCCTTGTAGTTCCTTCCTTCTACATTGGTTCTCTTAGCATGCCTCTCCTCTCCGCACAAATTAGTGTGTGGGTTTTTACTTCTTTATTGGGTGTGCATGGACACTTGTGTCACGGTGGCGGCCCAAGAAACAAACTGGAATCTAGAAAAAAACAGCTCAGCACTGTTGGATTTGTTTGTTTGCAGAGGAAATGGGGAAAACCAAAATAATGAGCCCGTGAGGATGCATTGCCAAGTTCAATCTTCCAGGGAGGTGATAGTTTCGCATCATTCTGTGGAATGGCTGCAGCGTCACCAAAACTGGACTTGCCTTGTTTCTACCCAGGTTTTGACGGGATGGCGATGGAAAAACGGTGATGGTTTTGTTTGAGGCTTGGTGGTGTTTTTTGTTTTGTTGTTCTTTCGAGACTGCTGTTCAAATGGCACAACCTGCTGCCTTGTTCTTGCATTGCAAGAGTAGCTCAGGGTCCTTTCTTGACCGGGGACTGACTTTGTAACGTGAAGGTATGTTGCAGCTCAGATTTCGGGGGAAGCTTGTTGGGTGCATCTGTGCGCTGAGGCCAAGGCGGTGCTCAGGGGCCACGGCTTGGGCCCTCACCATCTTTGGGTGGCCTCTTGCACTCATTGTGGTGTCGTCTGCCACACACCACAAAAATGCAGCTAAGCCCGAAATGGGTCTACTCTATTTCATGATATGATTTGTTCTGATGTTCTGAACGTGGGGCAGGGGGCGAACAAAGGACACCCAATTTTCTATGGGTGACTTAACAGCTTGGCTAATAAATCCCATTGAAAACTTAGGGATGTGTCAGAACTGTCTCCATTTGTTTCAATGGGACTTGGCCTAGACTTGGATGGCTACCTTTGCCATATTTAGCCTTTCAGGATAGGCATCTGTGTTTTTAAGCCTGTTTCCAGGTTGCTTTCTGCCCCTAGACTTTCTCCTTTTTTAATTTCCCTAACTGTGCACCTTTTTGTATGTGTGACCAAAATTGGTGGTGGTTAGATTTCTGCCTTCTCCATTCAGAGATGAAGCATGCATTTTTGGGAGGGGTGGGGAGAGACAGAATTCCTTCCTCTCCAGGGAAGTTGAAATGAAAAGATGAAGACTCACTCTTGACCTAGCTTTAAATCCCAAAGAGTTTTGGGGAATGGGGCAAGAGTAGCAAATTTTCCACTTGAGCACTTCAATCAAAGCCCTTGTCCCCACAATTCCACTAATTTGGAAGGTTAGAAGAATTAAGCTGAGTTTAAAGTTACTAGTCCTCATGGGCCTCACTCTCTGAAGGAGGCAGAAAATCTGCTTCTTTCACAACCTCTGAACCAAGAATCTTTGCTTTCCACATATTTATGCTCTGGTTTAGTATTATTTCTACCCCACCTTATTCTTTTAACAGTGCCCACTTACTTGCCAAAGTGTTTCTTTCTCTCTCCTCTCATATTTTCTATGTAAAATCTTTTTTTTTTCCTTAAAAAGTGTTGTTTTGTACCTCCATGACTTTAACTAGCTGCAAACTTGGGTGGGTGGGAGGAGAAAATGTTTTGACACGTATTTGATTTAATGTATTCTCCTCAAGTCTGTTTAGAACTTAGAAACATTTTACTGTGAAATCTTTCTTTTCTTTTTTATTAGAAATATCAATCCGAGAAAAATAGTATCCTCTGATTTCCTTTAAAAAGACTGCCAAAGGTTTTGCGTTTTGACATGAAGTCACCCTAAAGTGCTGGGCTGGAATCTATAGACATGAGATTCTTCCAGCAGGGGACTAGTTTAAGAATGAGAAATAATAAAAAGAAAAAAATCAACAAGAGAAACAAAAAACAAGCACTTTATTATGTAGCAGGCAAATCCGATACTGCTTGTTGGAACTTTTTTTTCCTTTGTAACACCTTGTTGATGCTGAATTTTTTGTATTGTTTTGTAAGAATTTAATAAATGCATTGAAACTCATGATGCTCCGAGTGTCCAATTTGTGCAGTTAACATGAAATGGGCAGAGGTGAGCCAACCAATTGTCCATTCCTGCAGGTAAAAGTCTTGGCCATGGGTTGTTGATTTCTTGTTGTATTTCTTGTTTCTACATAGGATTATTTTGTTGTTCCTATGTATGTTTTTAAATCTGTGGACCACCCAGAAAACCCAGTGTGTAAAAGTATAGTAATAGGAAATGCTCAGATGACCTTGAACTTGCTGGGGACTGATGTAGCCCTACCTCAAAGGGTAATTGTGAGGATAACATCGGCTATCGTGTGTGTTCTGGCAAGATTCCCGGGCATGCGTGAGAAACTGATGATCTGGGCTGCGCCGGTGTGGTTCAGAGCGTGGGACTGGGACTCAGGCGATCCGGGTTCGAGTCCCTGCTCAGCCATGAAGCCGACTGGGTGACTTTGGGCCAGCCGCAGACTCAGCCCGGCCTAACTCACAGGGCTGTTGTGAGGAAAGGCAGAGAGGGGGAAGTGAATTGTGTACACTGCCTTGAGCTCTTTGAAAGTTAAACATGCAGGATATAAATTAGATGTTCAAACACACTTGCTAGCGAATTGCGAGTTGGTTATTTTCCCTTCTGGGTATTCAGGGTTTTTAAATCTTTAATCAGTGTGTTCATTTTGATAATAAGATTAGCATAATTGGAGTATTGTGTTTAGTTTTGGGCCCCTCATTACAGAAAGGATATAGCCAGGTTAGAGTCAGTGCAGCGTAGGGCCACAAGGCTGGCGGCCGGTTTGCAGGGGAAGCCGTATGAGGCGAGACTGAGGGAACTGGGTCTCTTCAGCCTGGAGGAGAGGACACTCAGAGGAGACCTGTTGGCGACATGCAGGTATGTGAGGGGGTGTCCCACAGAGGTGGGTCGAGACCTGTTCTCCCCTGCAGAGGAAGGCAGGACGCGCTCCAACGGAGCAAAGCTCAGGGAGCCAAGGTTCCATTTGGATGCCAGGAAGCACTTCCTGGCAGTTAGGACCCCGAGGGTGTGGAATGGGCTTCCACGGAGGTGGTTGAGGCCCCATCGGTGCGGGTGTTCAAGGATAGGCTGGACGTGCACATGGTGGGCATGTCGTGAGCGGAGCCAGCTGGAGCTGGAGGTCAGACTAGATGGCCCTGGAGGACCTTCTGACTCGCTCTGTTTCTATAATAAACTTGGAAGAGAGCTAATCCTCCAGGCCTAACCCTGCTACTCCAAGGCATGAAATTGGAAGCATCCAGCTTTTATCCAAGGAGTGCTCGGGTCAGAACATTTTCCAGCGCTTCCTCTAGTAAAAATATATGACAATTGTAAGTTTCCAAGTATAATATATGCTTTTCAGTGGGACATTTTTGGCCATGGCACCTGAGATTCTGGCTGACCAACATCTCTTCCCCTTCCTGCCCCCTTTCTGAAGTGGACCCTTTTGTGCTGGCCATGGGCATTGTAGCATGGCTTCTCAGCTTTGAGACTAGAGCTCAGTTTCCTACACTGGATCTGGAAATCTAAATACTTTTGTGCCCCACCCCCTCCAGTGGTGTCCACAGTCACCAGATTGTTCTCCCTAGACTTTAATATTTTCCTCAAATTTTTCACATCAGGTGCTTATATATCAGGACAATGTTATGTTCAGTCGCAAAGTTGTGACTGACCCATCACAACCCCATGGACAACCTTCCTCCAGGCCTTCCAGACCATCCCCTGGAGTCCATCCAAGCCCACACCAACTGCTTCAGTGACTCCATCCAGCCACCTCATCCTCTGCTGTCCTCTTCTCCTTTTGCTTTCCATCCTTCCCAGCATCAGAGTCTTCTCCAGGGAGTCCTTCCTTCTCATTAGGTGACCGAAGTATTTGAGCTTCTTCTTCACTATCTGGCCTTCTAAAGAGCAGTCAGGGTTGATCTCCTTCTCTAGGACTGACCGGTTGGATCGCCTTGCAGTCCAAGGGACTCGCAGGAGTCTCCTCCAGCACCACAATTCAAAGGCCTCAATCCTTCGGCGCTCAGCCTTCCTTACAGGCCAACTTTCACAGCCATACATTGTTGTCATTAATAGCAAAGTCTTGTCTGACCCATTGCAGCCCCATGGACAACATTCCTCCAGGCCTTCCTGTCCTCCACCATCCCCCGGAGTCCATCTAAGCTCACGCCAACTGCTTCAGGGACTCCATCCAGCCACCTCATCCTCTGCCACCCCCTTCCCTTTTTGCCATCAATCATTCCCAGCATCTCTTCCAGGGAGTCCTTCCTTCTCATGAGGAGGCCAAAGTATTTGAGCTTCAGTCTTCAATATCTGTCCTTCTAAAGAGCAGTCAGGGTTGATTTCCTTATCAGGACAATGCCCACCCCCCACCCCCCAAAAAAGCACAGACACTTTCTTTTGCAAGTAAAATAAACACATAAAATGGGATTTCCCTGTGGGAAAGTGGGCAACCCTTGCCTCCCAAGAAGTTTTGCTCCCATCTCTCCACCTTGCATAGCTTAAACTGAAGGATGGTGAGAATTGTTTGTCGGGAAACAATTTGGGAAGGCATTAATTGTTCACACCTCGTCTAGGGCATCAGAATATTTTCTGCTGCAAATATTTTTGAAAACTGTTCATGTCAGAAAATGTTCCAATGCTAAATTTTACAGAAAACTTAACATTCACCAAGAAGTTTCTCCTAATCTGCAACCAAAATCTACCCTCTTGTATCCCAAGCTCATTAAATACAGTCCTGCTTTTGATATATCCCTTGCTAGTGCCGGGTGGTTCTTAGCTTTCAGCTTTCCCAACACCAGTTTTATTTTTTTGGTCTACTTGTTCTGGTGGTCCCTTCCATCTCCTGATGTGTACTTTGGGTCCCCAGAGTATTCACCTGCATCTCTGGGTCATTTCTGATAGCAGCTGTTCAACAGTGAGTGGTCACAGGCTTGGCAGAAAGATCAGATGCCAAAATGAGTGACTTGACATATCTCAAAAGAGAAGCAAGTCCCCTGACCCATGGAAATTTCCCACCCCAGGCCTGAGTCATGGAAAGGAATCTGCCAAAAATAAGAATGTTTAATTGCTCAGAAATTCATTTGCATCTTTACAGAGGCAGCTCTTTCCAGGGCTGCTGGTTTGTTTTGTTCACTCCATCCCTGAGACGTGAGGTGGGTTGCCATTTTTAGACCGTCCAAGAACTGCCTACTGTCCTGGAAACAGCCACCCCCCACCCCGCAACGCTGGACTCCGAATGAATGGCTTCTCTCTCATAGCCTTTGCTGGAAAAGGGCCCCACACACGACTTGTGCATGGCCAAACACCTGCTTAGATGTGCCATGCACAGTACATTTTCACTGGGACAACAAGAGGAAGCACAGCTAATTTGTCAAGAGGAGCTTTACAATTTCAGGAGAATTTTTCATTCAGAAAAATGGGAAAGCTCCATTTTTTGGATGGGGTGGGGGAAGGATCTCTAAATAGAGTCAATGCGAAAATTAATAACCACCAAGTGGAGAACTACCTGCAAGCTAAAGAGCAATTCAAAGCCTGTTTGTCCTGATTGTCACGTTCGATGTGTTTCCCCAGTGCAGGATGGGAAAACCAGGGCTGTTTAGTGGGGAATCATAGGAATGGCGGTCGGTGACAAGCGGGGTCCCCCAGGGCTCTGTCCTGGGACCCATCCTGTTCAATCTTTTCATCAGTGACCTCAAAGAGGGGGTGACCAGTCTGCTGATCAAATTCGCAGACGACACTAAAACCGGAGCAGTGGCCACAACTGAGGAGCAGGTACTCCAGATGCAGAAGGATCTGGACAGACTGTGGAAGTGGGCAGGAGACAACAGGATGGCGTTCAATGTGGATAAGTGCAAGGTCTTGCACTTGGGGCATAGGAATGGGTGTCACAAGTACAGGTTAGGGGACAAGTGGCTGGAGAGCAGCACTTGTGAAAGGGACCTCGGGGTGCTGATTGACTGCAGGCTGAACATGAGCCAGCTGTGTGATGCGGTGGTCAAGAGGGCGAACGCCACCCTTGGTTGCACAGCCGGAAGTGTGGCTTCTAGATCGAGAGAGGTATTCCTGCCACTCTACACAACTCTGGTGCGCCCGCAATTGGAGAGTTGTGTTCAGTTTTGGGCCCCTCATTACAGAAAGGATATAGCCAGGTTGGAGTCAGTGCAGCGAAGGGCCACAAAGCTGGTGGCCGGTTTGCAGGGGAAGCCGTATGAGGCGAGACTGAGGGAACTGGGCCTCTTCAGCCTGGAGGAGACTCAGAGGGGACCTGTTGGTGACATACAGATATTTGAGGGGGTGTCACATGGAGGTGGGCAGAGACCTGTTCTCCCCTGCAGAGGAAGGCAGGATGCGCTCCAACAGAGCAAAGCTCAGGGAACCAGGTTCCATTTGGATGCCAGGAAGCACTTCCTGACAGTTGGGACCCTGAGGGTGTGGAATGGGCTTCCCCGGGAGAGGGTGAGGCCCCATTGGTAAGGGTGTTCAAGCAAAGATTGGACAGCTACATGTTGGGGAGAACATGAGCAGAGCTGGCTGGAGCCAGACTAGATGGCCTGGGAGTCCTGTTGTGACTCATTTTTCTTGTTTCTATATTTGAGCATACTGAAATCCTCTTCATTTCAAAGTTCAGTTTTGCTAATTTCTACATTCGTGACATGTTTTTGGTTTATTTGAACAGGGAGAGTGGCTATCATTGTGTGAGTTTTTCATATTTTCACAATTGTGAAAATTTGCATTTGCTTAAAAAAAAATACCACAAGGTCAGAAAAGGACAAGGAAGCATCTGCACTTGCACTCAAGATCACAAACTGGGCCAATTCAGATGACTTGCAAACTGAAGTGAAATTCTCGTCCAGCCCTATGAAAAAGATGCAGAACTTGGAAGCTGTGCCGCACTCCACACGTTGGACCATCGTCCTGTATGGTACACGGTATGCAATTGGAAGCCACTCTGCTTTTACTTCCAGCTGCATTCACATTATGGCTTCTAGCAGCCTCTAGTGTTCAGTTAGTGCATTGCAAACCAAAAAATCCAGCTAAAAAGCTCGCAGTTTGGTTTTTTACCGTGACTGCCTGTCTTGTTCCATGCTAAATTTAACAGAACTGGGAGTTTCTCAAAATAGTTTTTAATAATTACCTTCACTTAAACCAACAGTAACTTTTCTTTTTTTAATTTACCTTTGGTAACTGCAGCATGAATGGCAGTAAGAATAAAGGTGTGCATTATGCCAAAAAGTAGACTCCCACTCTCTAGTAAAATTAAGAATGAGGTCTCAGACGCACTGATACTAGCACTAGTGCAAGATGAACACACACACACACAATCACCATGTATCAGTGTGAAAGTTGGACAGGGAAGACAGACTGACAGGAAGAAATTTCAAACATAGTGCTGAAGGAAGCTTTGTGAGTAGCTCGGATCAACTGAAAGGCAAGTGAGATCTGGATATAATCAAGCCAGAACTTTTCCTGAAAGCAAAAATGACAAAACTGAGGTGGTTGTACTTTGGGCACATCATGAGAAGGCCAGGCTCCCTGGAGGAGGTTATCGTGCTCAGGGAAATCGAGGGCAGAAGGCAAAAGGGAATACCAACTATAAGATGGATTGACGTCATTAAGGAAGCCACTGCTTTGAGTTGGCAAGAGCGGAGCATGGTTGCCCAGGCCCGGACATTGGGGGGCCTCATGAGGTTCATAGGGTTGCCCAAAATTGGCAACTGCTTTACAGTATATGACAATAAAATACAAACATCAATGCTTTTCTCAATCTGAAAAGTGATCAAATAGCAGTCCTCAAGGATCAATTCCAAGCAGGAGTGTTGGATTCCTGTAGAATTCTTTTGGGCAAAATGCAAGGTGTGGTGTTCTGGATCTAGCCCAGTTGTGCCCTTTGCTCTCCCTGTAGAGAGCAGGTGTGCAGCAAGATGGGTTTCAAGTCTGCACTCAGCTGTCAAGAAATATGATAGGTGTGATAGAAGGATGAGAAATCAAATAGCCCTTGTTTCTTTACCAAATTATACTGAAAGGTGCTTTAAAATTCACTGCAGAATGCCTCATTTTAATAAATATCCCTCCTTTTAAATAACCCCTTTCCCTCAATATGTTCAAAGCCTTTAATTCTTGCCCTTTTTGCTCAATTAAAAGCAAACTCAGTATAAAAAACATTCTCCCAATAGCGCTTGCAATATAAACCCTCTTGCAATAAGGGTCATTCTTAACACCTTCTGCCTACTCCTAAGCCCACTACTGCAAAAAGGCCTTCTCTTCATCACAAAATGCATGGTCCTAATCCTAAAAGATACAAATAGCCCCTTCCTTTAAAAAACGTCCTTCCCCTCAATGTCGAAAGATGTTCAGCACAGTCAAATCTGTCATACAAAAAGTGGACTTTTCTTTCAAGAGGGGGGCCCTCCTGAATTTCAAAAATTAGGGAGCATCACAGAGCAGACTAAGATCCCAGCAACTCCCAGAATCCCCCAGCAGGCGCCACAGAATAAGCCCCGCCTGCCCGCTGTGCCTCGACCCATAACCCCCCGCAGGGTAGGGCCGGCCCCTCCCAGCATGCCCACGGCGGCGCAGCCGGACAGCCTGAGGCATGATGGGAATTGGAGTACACGGCGCCGCCGCCGCCGCCTGGCCGCGGATCCGCCCGGGCCCCCGCTCCGGCGAGGGCCCCGGCAGCGCGGTTAAGCACTTCCAGAAGGGCAGGCAGGCGAGCGGGCGCCCCCGCAGCCGCGCCGCCCGCCGCCCCCGCGGCCTCCCGCGCCCCACCTGCCGG